ACCACAGTGAGAGACCTGTCCCCGACCCGAAGGCGCAGGGACGCGACCCTCTTGTTCACCAGGGTGAACTCCAACACACAGCGGCTGAGCTGTGGGGCAATGAGCAGGCCCACACCAGCCCGCCGCCGCTCTCCGCGGCCAACACCAGAGATATGGAGAGTCCAGACCCTCTCAAGGAGTTGGGTTCCAGAGCCCAAACTGTGCATGGAGGTGAGGCCGACTATATCTAGTCGGTAACGCTCAACCTCCCGCACAAGCTCAGGCTCCTTCCCCTCCAGTGAGGTGACATTCCATGTCCCTAGAGCTAGTCTCCATGTCCGGAGATCCGGTCGCCGAGGCCCCAGCCTTCGACTGCCACCCAGATCTCTTTGCAATGGCCCCATATGGCTCCTCCCATACATTAAGCAAGTTGTGCTTGTCTAAAATACTGCAGTGGTGAAAATAAAATTAAAATGGTTTCTTGTCCAGTATTTTTACAGCTTTTTAAAAAAGTGTCTCGACTGATTTGAGTTTTGTGCCAGCAGCAGGCGACTGTGGGGTTCTGCAATCCTCTATATTCAGACACAATCATGGAGTGTAAAAACATTCGTGCTGCATATAGAGTCATAAAGGATATTACCTGTTTAAAATTCACTAAGTTAAAATTAACAGTTTTTGTGAGGTGCTTAATGTGTTTCTTAAATGCCAATGTCAAGTCCAACGTCAGTCCCAGGTATTTAAACTCTCTGACGAGGCTGAGTTCTACCCTGTCCAGAAAGACATTGTACCACTATATTATGAGCTTTAAGTCATGTTTTAATGCTGTTCCTCAAAAACACACCTGGAGTTGTGTTTTGTTTCATTTACACATGTGTGTTAAACATGTGTGAATGAAACAAAACACAACTCCAGGTATGAGCCCTTTAAAGTCAAGTCAAATATAATTGTCTGTAGACCATTAAAATACATTTCTGGCTGTGTTTCCACTTCTGTCACTTAGTCGGGTGAAGGGAAAACAGTAGTTAAAATGTTGCAGCAGGATGTCAAGATGCAACATGCCATCATCAGCATATATGAGGAAAACTTGTAATTTCTAAAATGAGGTTCCTTCCTGGGCATTTCAGGTGTCATATTACAACACTGTGATGAAAAAAATGTGTATATAAAAATAGAAGCTGTTTATCTTCACCAAAATCAAACCCAAATTACACCCACAATGACTCCAATATTCCCACCGAGAATTCAAAGGATCATCTGAGCCCACGCCCCTCCCCCAAACACACGCCCATAGAAGAGTAAAGATCGTGGGAGACCTCTGTTGTGGAGAGGCAGGCCTGACCTGGTGAAGCAGGTATTGATAAGCAGACCTCTGCAGCTCTTTCATGTCCATACAGGGCAACATTGATCCCTGCACCAGGAGAGCACAGGATAAATGCTCACCAGAGACTCACAAATACCTCGGAGGAGGCTCTTTCAGCTTCCAAAGGTCAAGAACTATAGTGCCTATGGTGAACAGATTCATTGTAATCTGCTGTAATTAGTGATTTAAAGACACAGTATGTAACGTTTAAGGTTGCTGTGTAGGAGCCATTCGTGGGTTTTTTATTGGTTTCCTCATGTGACTAATGTGCACGTGATTTAACTCTGTGCACTACACTGCGGTGGTTGGGGGTGGCACGGTGGGTGTGGTGTGGTCTATATATGAGCGCGCTCACCTGCTGAGTGTAAGGCCTTGGATCATGGCGGCGGGGTGAGCACGGGGAGCAACTTTCTGTTGACCGTATTTTAACAGGAAAGATTTGGATATAGAAGGAATCGGTGCATGGCTACGGACGGCAGCAGCTTTAAAGTAAGTGCTCTAACGCGTATGCCTACTATTACAAACAAGTACCGTGTATATGTGCATTTGTTCCGAGTTACGCGTCCACAGTGTTTTACCCCACGTCTTAGCCCACAGCGGCGTGTGGGATAAGCATTGGGCTACATACGCCGCAATATTGCTGTATTTGTATGATATATTTTTATATTTTATTTTTATTTGTACATATACATTCATACAATTGTGCCTTATTTAACACCAGACTCTTGCTATTTGTGCTACTTATTTTGAATGAATTATTAGCATTTATATTTTTGCTCTTTATTATTATATTTATTGTGACGTGTGAGCTACTGTGTCCAAATGATTTCCTTTCTGGATCAATAAAATGTGTCTAAGTTTAAATGTGCACTATATAACTTTTTGGTTGGGTGTCCATCACTTGCTTGTTTCTGTGGAGATGTCCTTGCTTTGCCTGGAATGTTCTAGCCAGGCTAGTGCCTCTGCTCAATTTCATTTCTCTCCAGCGACTAGGTCAGGAATCAGAATACACTAGACTGTTTGCAAGAACCTCGGAAGTGTGAGATTCCCAAAATTCCCGAGATCGAGGATTTAAAGCAGGAATAAAGAGAATGATTGGTGAATTTTATCAAGGGAAAAGACATTATTGCCCTTCTTCCTATGGGATTTGGGAAACGCTTAATATACCAGTTAGCCCTGTTAGATGCGCATTACATACGTCATGACTAAATAGTAGTGATTGTTTAAATAAAAATAGTACCCGTCCACCATTGAACGAAAGAATTCTAATGCTGTCAGGTCAGATGGTTTCCACAAAGTGAAACCCGCTGATGAATCAGGCTAGGAATGTTCCACATTATGACATTAAACAGCTCTACCTTACATTTATTCAGTTACAGGTGTTTTTACTGCTCAAAATTTCTTAGAAAACTGGCATTCTGACTGTTAGAGGGTTGCCCACCTGTAACCTGGTCTTTGGCCTGAATTTATATTTTATATTTCAGTATAGACATGATTGTTTTGATCAGATTTCTCACATTCTTACACAACAGAGGCCCCAGAGTACCCATAAACACAGCACTTATTTTGAATATGCAACAACAATGACCACTGACGAATACTCCATGAGACGCTGTTGTTTTTCAGCAAAATTTATGTAATTACACACTCCAATCAATCCACCCACGTATGTACATTTGTTTTCTTTTGTTTTGTTGCACTTTATAAAGACCTTTGTTTCCCTCTTTGCCTCAAAAGGTGACGCCTGACATAAAGAGATGGGGAGAACTGGACTCAGTAGGAGGAATTGGAGGGAGACGGGGCTGAGACTGGTGAGGAGGTGGCTATAGGCTTTACTTTGAAGTGCTTTCTGCTGGGGACTGGATCTTCTCACAGACCACTGTGTCTGTGTATGAAGTATAAGCACAGATAAAGTATATGTGGACACTGTGAAATATGTTATCAGTACAAACAAAGACATGCATGGCCTACCAAATGCAGAGAGATTTCTTTGACAAAAGTTAAATAAGGAATTCTTCATGGAAGTGGAATTAAATATTGATTCCTGGTGAGTTGTCTAACCTAAAACTAAACTTAAGGTGTACAGTGTAAGGTGGAGAGCCTGGTACTTGCTTTTTGCTATTTCTTTGCCTTGAATGTTCACCATCAGGTCGTTAAACATATCTCCCTTGCATTTGTTCAATTACTGGTGAATTCTGACCATGTGCAAGCTTGCTTCTCCATAGATCTGACCTTTAACCTGTCTCTATTGTGATTACCAAGTTTATTTCCATACTGTGGAATAATGTTTTTTTTCTTTATTTCTTTATTTTTGTATTTATTTTGGGAAAGTAGAGGTTTACATTCTTATACAATGGAACATATAACATAAATAAAATCATAATAGAAATGAAAATAAACACAACAAAAAGGAGTGAGAAGAATATATATATATATATATATATATATATATATATATATATATATATATATATATATATATATATATATATATATATATATATATATATATATATATATATATATATATATGATATGTAGCATATATGTAGATTGTAGATTACTTGGTAGTAAATTGTTGCATACTCTGAATAAAATTTAGCCAGGCTGGTGCCACCTACTGCCTCCGCTCAATTTAATTTCTCTCCAGCGACTAGGTCAGGAATCCGAATACACTAGATGGTTCGCAAAAACCCCGGAAGTGCGAGTTTGGACACCAGCCAGTCAGTGAAGATGTATATATTATATTATATCATATATTCTGTGTTGGTAATGATTCTCAAGATCGAGGATTTAAAGCCAGAACAAAAAGAATGTCTGGTGAATTGTATCAAGGGGAAAGACGTCATTGTCCTTTTTCCTACAGGATTTGGGAAGCTTAATATACAAGTTAGCCCTGTTAGGGGAACATTACATACATCACTACCAAATAGCAGCGATTGGTGTATTTTGTGTGTATAATGTGTATAATGTTTTACAAGATCAGGAATCTTTAAGAGCTTGGATTGAATAAAAATATTATGGGTGTGTTCTAAAAATCCTACTTTATGGATAATGTGCAAAGCTCGTTTCTGTAATATAATCAATGGATTAACTGTACATTGGTAAGCCATTGATAATCAAGGCAAAACAGTAACATCACCGAGGAGACAAGCAAGTGTCGGACCATTCACCAGAAAAGTTACACACTGCATCTTTAACGTTCAGGACTTAATCTTAGATTTGAGATGTTTAAAAATATAACTAAAGCTTTAAGATGAAATAAATTAAAAAAAATACATATTGCATGCTTCATTATATATTTTGTGGGTGTTTTTTGTCCGTTTCATTCATCCACTGAAATCCATTTTAATACTGTACACACATATTAGTCAAAATATTTTGCATCATTATATCATTTGTATCACATCTCAAGTTTTGTGACTCTTTGAGCTTTTTTTTTTTTTTTTTCAATACACAGTCCAATCTCACACATTACAATACCCTTCACATTGACACTGACAAACGTTTCAAACAGCTGGAGTCACCACATGGCTCCTATAATAAGTAACATTGCGCATGGCTGACAATAGACGAGACTGGCTTCACAGCAAAGTATTACATTTCTTGAATAGTGTCCAATGATGAGCGGTTGTTTGCCTGCACATGTGTCACTTTATTGTTACGAAGCTGCTGATACTTGCTCCCTGCTCTTTCTCTCCGTCTCTGGCGTGGACTTCATCTCCATCAGCTCCACCTCGCGCTTGGCCGCTATCTCCAGCACTTTTTGCTTATTGTAAAAGATGACAAAGTTATTGATAATGGGGTGAATAGGGAGAGCAATGGCTATTACTCCACAGAGGAAGCTGACTGCTGCGTTGCACTTCCCCAAGGTCGTTTTGGGGTAAATGTCACCATACCCCACTGTGGTCATGGTGATTATGGCCCACCAGAACGACTGAGGGATGCTTCTGAAAAGTGTTTCGGGATGACTTTGTTCCATCGTGTATGCCAGCGCTGAGAAAACAAATATACCCACTCCCATGTACATGAGGAGTAGGCCCAATTCTTTGAGGCTCCTTTTCAGCGCATATGTGAGCGTTTGAAGTCCAGCCGAGTGGCGGGCCAACTTGAATATTCTCGCTATTCGCATGATGCGCAGAGCTTGTATCGCCTGCTGCACATTTGCGAGTTCCATCATTGACGCGGTGCCGAGATACGTGAGCGTTAAAACCACATAGAAAGGCATGATAGCCATGAAGTCTATCACGTTCATAATAGAAAAAGCGAAGTGAACTTTGTTTGGAGATGAGGCGAGACGCAGCACATACTCCGCAGTGAACCACATCATGCACGCGGTCTCTATGACATCGAGCGTGGGGTGTTCAACAAGTTTCCCCTCCGCGTCTGGCACCTGGAGCTCGGGGATGGTCCCCACGCACATGACTACCGCAGACACGAGAACTGACAGGAAAGAAGCGATAGCAATGACACGCGCTGTTAAAGAGGAGCTTGGTTTTTCCATAAGGCGCCATAAAAACCTCTGGCACTTTTGGCTCCGCGTTACGCACCGCTCCACTTCCAAGTCCTCCAGGATCACCTTTACTTTACTGGAGATCTCCTTCAATTCTTCCTCTTTCTCACTCAAATAACTTTTACAACACTCGTCCAAAACGCTCTGGTCTATTTTCCAGTATTCCATTTCTTTTATGAAGCAGATAGGGCAGATCCCGTTTTTGATGTGGATTTCATCAAAATAATAGACATCTATGATACACTTAAACGCGTCTGGGTCACGGTCAAAGTAGAACTCTTTTCTGCCGGGGTCAAAATCATCGCAAAGACTTGAAATCCTCTCGTAGTTTTGAGTGGAGCAGGTCAGCAGCTCCGCTAGTCTGCTCTCCGGGTAACGGTTCAGGACGTCCCCGAAAAGAACCACTCGAACTCCGCCTATGTTCACGGCGATCTCCCCTTCAGTGCACAAACCGGGTCTATATTTTGGCTTCGGTACAGTCCACATTATGACATCTATAAGTGTCCAACGTGAAAAAACTCGCACAAGGGCGCATTAACTAAAGTAATTGTCCATTACACTTGTGCGTAAAACGGCCAAAGCTCTCCAAAGCGCTGAAATGAGTGGCACCGCTTTGGCGCACAGCTTTACCTATCACTACCCACCTCTCTCTCTCCTTCTGTGAGCTGGAGAGAGGCAATCTCTACACCCATGTGACATCTATCGATTCTGGTGTCAGAAATGCAATATGCAGCGTTTGGTTCAGAATCACTGAATATTCATCAACAGAAGATGTTAGTCACCAATCAAACCGCATAGGAAGTGTAACTATTAGCATTATTGTAACAAATAATGTTGACTGTTGACTACTCCACACATAAACAACTCAAACGTTATTTAATTCTCCACTTGCACGTTTATATACCCCTTACTTACGTATACTTACTTTTCCCACATCTAATACCAACTAATTTATGTGGCACACTCCTTATTCCTGCCATCATAAATTTGCATTATTAGAGTGAAAATATTTTACCATGGAAACTGGAAGCCACATGGGACAGTCCTCTCATGTTAGTGAGGAATACACAACATGTGTTGAACAAAAGATTTAATCCTTATCAAATTCTAAAGGTTTTCTTTTCAATCATTTTAACACATTGTTTGAAACTTGGTTTACTTTGATTCAAAAATATATTTAAACAGGGGCACAGTTCTTAGGCTCTTGTCAAAACACTTGGCGCAACTTTCATTCAAAAATATGTTTTCAATACCACAGGTCTCTTCTCAGGTGAGGATGTTGGCCTAAACTCTGTTACAGTTTTTCTCTATCATTTTAGCACATTTTTTGAAACTTGGTTGAGTATGATCTTTTGATTCAAACATGTTTTTGTCCAGGGGCACAGGTGATCGCATCACAGTTCACACAGTTCTCAGGGCCGTTCAGCTCTCATTCACAAACACACATGATCAGAGAATTCACCTTGTTTTTTCAACACTAGAGGCCTGTTCTCATATGCTAAAGGATTTGGGCCCAAACTCTGTCACTTTCAATATAGAAACTCAAACTGAATGGGAAATCTAAATTTGTGAGCACCAAAAATCTCACATCAAAGTATTTCACACATGAGTCAAACTGAGAGAAGGGTCTCAGCGCTGAGTACAGACACTAAGTACATGTATGGACTACATACATATATACAGTTCTGTTTGATTTTCAAGAACATATATTACAGTAAGGTAATGTTGATGTATTTGGTATTCCAACATCTTTCAGTTTTCTTCTGCATACATATTTTTGATCAAATACTGCAAAATCTCCTTTTCAGTTGATAATGTGTGCTTTTATATTTTACACAATACAATACAGAAAGGTTTTAGACATAAAAGCGCAGTTCTTCCAGTCCAAAATTCAAGGTGTGTAAAGTGTGACCCCCAGAGTCAAACTGCAATAAACCATTGATTCTCTGTGGTCACTGAGAACAAAAAGAGTGTTTGAGTTGCACTGTTAAATGAATGAAAAAGCACAGAAAAACATGATCAAAGTGTGAGGATTTTGATGGTAAAACTTGCTTTTTGGGATGATTTGAAGTTTTGAATGAAAAACTGCATTTTGCTAAACTATAGTTTTCCATGTTTAGGACTTTGTGGGATCTTTCAACAAAAGTGCCAAAGAGATTGAAAAAACTTTTTTTTTTTTTTCAATAAAGAAACTCAAGCATGGCAGCAAAAAGCAAATATCTGTGAACACTCAAAATGTCACCAATGGATTTCACACATAAGTCAGAGACTACTACTTACAGTAGACTACACTGTTCTTACTTCTTCATGTTTCATGGTCCGGACATTGCATAGAGCAAGTGTTGAAGCATAATCAATAATATGTACATTTATTGAAATTATTATTATTTTTCTTATTATTATTATTTTACAAAAAAATCTAGAATATATCAAGAAAAGAAAAAAAAAAAACACTTCCAGACCCAAATTTCTTGTGTGTAAAGTGTGAACCCTAGTGTCAGACTAGACCAGTGAGAGCAGGACTAAGTGCTCAGAAAAACATATGACCATAGTTTGGGAGTTTTGAGATTAAATCATCCCCCAAAAGCGCATTTTATCAGTTTTGAATATGAAATAGTATTTTGCTGTGATTAAACTTTGTTTAGGAAAACCGTAACCCTGTCAGGGATTCTGTGTGAGCTCTTTTGCAAATGTCAATTTTCAAGTGTGTCAAGTGATTGAAAAAAACAAAAAACAAAACTGTAAATGCACTCCTTAGCTGATGTTAAAATTTTGTTTGAACAAAAATAACATAACAAGCATAACATATTGCAGTTATAATTGTATCATGTTTAATTGTTGTTTCTTCTGATTACTGTACACATTTGTTCACTTGATAAATACATCAAACCCATGAAGCATGCTGCAAGTTTAACCCTCAGCTTCTTGTTTTAGACTTTTAACAGATCACAATTACAGTTAAAATATAATAAACAATTCTGTACAGTAATTTTTACGAAGAGCAAAGTTCAGTTTTTGTTTTTTTTTGTCTTACAATAGGGTTCACATTAACATTGTCCAAGAGTGAGTTACAAATAACATACTATACTAGAACCTGGGGCCCCAATGCAATTCAATTCAACTAAACTGTACGACAGCATCAGCTGGACTTTTTTATAAACTTTTAATGTGATGAATGGTGCATCTTCATAATAAAGGAGTTTTGAAACAACTCATATCTGTACATTTATTTACAGGGCACTTTCATTTGTTATTTGTGTACAAACCACTTCAGAGTAACAGCGTTTTCCACCACTGCTAGCTGAGCTCCAGAACAGTGGTGTTGATGTGGAAGGAGATGTAGGAAAAGTACTCTTGCTGAGACAATCCTGGGATGTCACAGCTCACCTGCAGCAAATACAGAAATATTAAAGGTGAACTATGTAACTAAAGTAAAGGGTCTGCTACTTGCTTGTTTCCATGGAGATATTTATTATTATTATTATTCATTTTCCTGGAATGTTCCACAGTAGGGCATTAAACATATCTACCTTGCATTTCTTCAATTACAGGTGTTTTATAGCACAAAAATACCTTAAAAACATGAATTCTTACCATGTACACACTTGCTCTGACCTGTCTCCATTATGATTACCAAGCTTATTTCCAAACTGTGAAATAATCAAAACAGTAATATCTCCATGGAGACAAATAGGTGGCGGACCCTCCGCCAGGAAAGCTTCACAGCGCACTTTAAAGAGTCACCTTGAAACCAACAGTGTGAGCGAAGCATGCAGATGAACTTCCTGGGGCTCCTGTGCATGTGGTTAATGTCTGTAATTATATATGGGGCTGTGAATGACAGCTTGGGTGAGCTCTAGGGTGACGCTGTGCACTTATTGAATTTAATGACGATTGATTCGATCATTTCTAATCTACAGTGATCAGGTCCTTTTAAGTGGGATGTAAAGCATGGAGAAAGAATTAATTTCTAATGATCATGTAGTTAAGCATGATTCAGGCCTAACCCCTTGTCATATTGTCAGCCCCATAGGGTATGACTATAGGGCAGAGTGGGTGATGATGGACAGAGCTTTCCAAAACCAAGATAAATGGACATAAATCGATGAGAAGATTATTTTTGTTCAATCTGAGAATTTTTTTATGTGCATTATAAATACAGTTGCTGTTACAGTTTGTTAGTATTGACACATTATTCCTTTTAAATGATGTAATATGTTGCATGCTTTAACTAAAAATGTAAAATAACATTTTTGCCGTATTTGCAGTTACAGGCTTGTGATTTAGATTTTTTGTGTATTATGTCTTACGTCTGTCTTGCTGGCCATGGCAGCTGGGTCCAGATGCATAAACAGTGACGCCAGTTCTTCTCTCATTTTTTTGGAGCATTTTCTATCAGTCTGCAGGAGAAGAGCTTGGAAATTTACTGGCAGCCCGTATCTGGCAAGGATAAAATATAGATGTTTACATTATCAAAATCTGTAGCTCATTTTATGTTTTTAATTGTATAGAGCATTACTGACCTGAGGACTGATTCCACAAATACTCTCAATGCTTTTAAGTGAATCCAGGCAACAAACAACTGAGTAAAATTCACCTTGAGCCAACGTACAAAGATCCCCTAAACAGAAGCGTAGTGTATTAAAACATGATAGACAACTTAGGTTTAAAGGGCCTATATTATGCTATTTTCTGATGTTACAATGTTGTTTCCTCATCACAAACATACATGGAGTTTTGTGTGGTTTCATTCACACATGTTTAACACAAGTGCTGCATATTTAGGCTGAGTTCTTTTAAACAGAAAACACAGTTTCATCCACTTTGTGATATCACGGGGTATTACAGGAGGTGCTACACTGTGTTTTTAAGATCCATACATCTGCTCTAAAATAATTTGGATAATTTTAGTGCTGAAATTGTCAATCTCTACTGACTAAAGGTAAAATGTCACTGTTAACTTGAAAACTATGTAGATAGACTATTAACAAACAATTACTAAAATGTGTGAATTAAACAACACACAACTACCGTTATGTTTTTGACGAGGTAACAACATTATATCATGACTTAAAGCTCATAAGAGTCAATTTTGTGCAGTATATGTCCTTTAAAGTGCATATAACAGGTCAGACTACTCATTTCACTTTTCATTTCACTTCAGTTGTAATTACCATAATCATATGTAAGATTCTGCAAATAATCCTTAAATATCCCTAGTTTCACAATTTTGGCTAAATTTATAATTTACATCCTGTTAGACATGGATGGCAGAGGTGACATACATAAGTAATATCATAATTGTTACCTAACAACCATACTTTAAACAAGGAACAAAGGTCGTCCAATTTAGAAAATAAAACAAAAAAATATATTTCACAAATTGTGTTCCCTGTGCAAAAATTGCCCATGCATTCTAAAGGGAATTTTGTGCAGATAACATAGATATGGAGATTAGTTTTCCTTTTTAGAATTTAGTGTTACTTTCTGTAATTTTCAACAATTCTTTTTATTTATCTTCACCAAAGAGTCACTTAACAGATGTAACCCTATATGTACCACTGTTATTATCTCACTAATGTCCAAAAAAAGTAGTAATATAATAATAAATAAGTAATAATATAATAATAAAACATGTATAACTGCCTTATGCCCTTTAACTTTGTACTTCACTTACATACTGCTCTTTCTTGCAAGCACTGAGCTGCTTCATGTCTCTCAGCTTCTGCTCCTCCAGCTCCACACAGTATTCGCGCACAGTGAACCTGTGTGGATCATAGGCTACACCATGTTAAGTGACACAGACAACACAGTGGACATTATAAGTGTTTTTTTCTGCCGGTGCACCCTGCTTACTTGCTCTCCTGCGCATTGGCTTTGAACTGGCTCACAGCCCGTTTGAAAAGAGTCACTGAGAAGATACCAGCATCCGTGTCCTCATACAGCCTCCTGGTGGTTGTATCCGAAATGACAAAATATAAAAGAGGAAAATTTGATTCGACTGAATAATTACATGGTGGAATGTAACAAATTACAGACACTCACTTTACTGTAATTAGGTAGATTTTTTGGGGGTAGCTGTACTTTAATTATTTAAGCATGTACTTGTAATTGAGTGTAATTTTAACCATGAATCTAAAACAGTCTCAGCTTCATAAACAAACAAACACACATTACAGGAAGGCATCACCTGCTCTGACTGGCCAGAGCTCAGAGAATGTGTTATATTTTAGATAATGATATTCAACTTTAAGATTCACCTTTAAACTGCTTAATTAATCATGTTCTGAATATAGACTGATCTAAAATGATACTAAAATTGTGTATATACTTAAGCTTTTTCATGCATACTTTTAATTAAATACAAATTTGGCACCAGTAAGTGTACTACTAATTGAGTACATTATGCAATGTAACTGTCCTTTACTTGTGTACAAAGATCTAAGGAAGTATTTTAGATATGGAGTTACTAACTTATCATAATTAGAAAAGAGTATTCTTATGAGATTCTCTATTGTCTATCACTCCAATGAAAGTTTTATGGCTCAATGAAAAGAGCATGAATTACCTCTGAAGATTTAGAATTTAAGCCCTGGTCTGGCCTGTATCTTTGCCTTAGTGAAATACTAAGAAATTTTACTATTCTTTTGTTATTCTTTGCATTTTGAACATTAGTCTAACTGAGCATTTTAACTTAATTTCTCTCAAATGGGAAAACAAACAGCAGGCATCAATTAACTTCCTGCAAGTGATCCCAGTGAAGTGGACTATTACTTTCTCCAGGTAATCAAACACCTTTGGTCAGCCATTACTAGTTAATTTACTCCAAGCTTCATTGGCTTAAAACCTGGAAATTGTTAGTGCAATTACATACATACATCCATACATAAATATAAGAAATATAAATACGTACCTACTCGACCTAGGCACCACAAACTCTGAGAGTGATTCATATGTCCTCTCCCACTGTTCATAGCTTCCTCTAGAAACAAAAATTCATACCAAAACCGTACAAATTAACTACAATATTGAACTAAATCTGTACAAAATAAACTAGCTGCTTCTTCTAATTTGTTACAGACCTATTAACAATTACTAGGAGTGTTGTGAGGTACTCTGACACTACCAGATCCTCTTTTCTGATAATGTCGTTAAGGCAGCGAGTTTGCAGTGTTCCCCTGCAAAGATAGATGTTTGTTTTTATTTCCCACAAAATTAATTATTAAAATCATTTATATATTTTTGTATATATAGTGGTTCTCACTGATGTTTCAACTCTAAATTTTGAAAACTACTTTTCAAACTGTTGTATGCAGTAGATCTGGATTTTAGCTCTGTTTCCACCAAGGTCACCTCCTAACAGAAAACATCATTTAAATTAATAGCAATAGTCATAATAATTGTTTCATGCATTCACATGCATTTTCACCTTGCCGATGACCTCTGTCAGGGCAGAAAGAGGCAGAGATGTAGAGTACTTGGCTTTATCCCATTGAAATCTTGTCACATATTTCATCAAGTCCACTATAATAAAGAACAATTCATTAGCAGCTGCTCAAGTAAATGTAGTCTTGACTGGAAGTGATGGTAGCACAGCTATATTTCAACCTGCCTTATTATTGTTAATACTCCTACTACACTACAACTACTACTACTAATACTACTACTAATGCTAGGGTGATGTTTTAAACTGAGAAGAAAAAAAAACTTTCTTAGTATTTAAACTATGCAGTTTATACACACATATTTACAGCACTCCACACACAGCATGGCAAACAAAACTACCCCTCAGTGACTGGAAGAAGGCCCGCAGGGGTGACACAGGAGTTTTCTCGTTTATTCCGTGGTCTAAGAGGAGACATGAACCACTATGAGTGAACTTTAAATTGATCATGATGTGGTCTTACTGTAGGTCATATTTGCATCAGTGCTCTGGGTACATACATGCGCCTATAATGAGTTTGTATAGTGTAAAAAACACCATACCAGAACAGTGGGGTGCATGACTTACCACCATTGGCCAAGGTGTTTTCCAGCATTTTATCACTGGACTGCTCCATCACCTCCTTCATACACTGACAGGTTTTTTTAATCACACTGCAAAAAACAAAACAAATATTAGTATATCAGGCCAGATCGGCTTGTCAAAGCCTGATCCTGTCAGATCTCAGAAGCTAATCAGGGTTAGTAAGCCTTGTTAGTAATTGGATGGGAGATCACTGGGAAACTCAGGTGCCACAATGGGGCGCCAGTCACAAAAACAGTTGTTGTGTCCTTAGGCAAGGCACTTGACCCATATTGACTAGTATGAAAGTAGTGTGTGCATGACTGATTGTGGTGGTTGGAGGGATCAATGGTGCAGACTGACAGCTGTGCTTCCGTCAGTCTGCCCCAGGGCAGCTGTGGCTACAATAGTAGCTTACCACTACCGGGTATGGAGTGAATGAATGGATGATCTGTAAAGCGTCTTTTATGACAAATGTCTGTTATAAGCGCTATATAAATAAAAACTTACTTACTATCAGTATTCCATTGAATAGTTAAACATGTATAACAATTCTATTAACACCTTGGAGGACTAAAGCAATCACAAAATTGCAAATTAGCCTGTGTTAAAATGGCTACAATTAACTAAGAACAGCAGATAATGATATGAAAATACTATTTATAATAGCAATGCCTGATTTACTATGACTTTCAGTGTAATATTGACATTTCATTTAACAATTAACAACATTTTGATACCCTGGGCCTGTATATATATTGGGCATGTTTGAATTTATTGGTTTAAATTAAATGACAATAAAGTGCCAGAAATACAATAAAAGACTTGATCATTTGTGTTCTTAATCTGCCTTAATCTGTCCTTTTGCATCCAACAATTTTCATCTGCCTTGAACATATTGAATTCTACTTAATTCAGTATGTTAAAGTTAAAGTTTCTACCCACCTCTATAAAAAAGAATTACAACATACTTGGAAAATGTATGTAACGTGGAACAGCAAGTAACATTATTAACAGATTACCACAAGTCTGAAGTACTGTAACATGAATACTGATATAAAAATATGTAGAATTTAGAGTATATTTTTTGGAGACAAGAAAGTGACACCACAGGGCTAAATTAAAGGTCAGATCTGTGTAGAGGCAAGCCCACTCACGGTAAGAATGCATTTTTTCAAAATATTTTGTCAGGACATCCAAGATATATATATATATATATATATATATATATATATATATATATATATATATATATATATATATATATATATATATATATATATATATATATATATATATATATATATATATATACATACATATACATATACATATACACACATATATATATGTGTATATATATATATATATATATATATATATATATATATATATATATATATATATATATATATATATATATATATATATATATATATATATATATATATATATATATATATATATATATAAATAACCATCAGTCACCCTTGAACATAAATTAATCATGCCACCAACCGCACACAAGCTCAATGTTACACACCTTAATTAAGGACAAAGCTGCACATTAAGTGACTAACATGCATGGTCCATTAACACAAGAGGCTCTCCACCAATAAGAAGAACACACTGTTAGTTAACCACTTCCTCTACTATTTTATTTGAAGTTACCTTTCTGTCACAGTGTCCAGCCTGGAGAGATCATCTGAAACACTAAGTAGAGTGTCAAGTATTCCCACCTGAAAGAAAGAGTGTAGCTGTTTTAGTACAAGGATCATAACATCCTAATAAAACCGATCAAAGATGTGCATTGTAAACTTGATTGTATGTGATGGTATGCCTTATGGGATTATTTTAATGCAAAACGCTTGCATTGGTAATATTGGTTGTAATTAGGGAATGGCATTTTAAAATAAACTTTACACAAAGTGAAACAGGTCAGATGGAAATTTTGCCTCAAACTGTAGCAAGCAACCTGAGCCTTTATCGCTACACCAGAGAAGGACACCAAACACCAGCAGCCTCCTCTTCTGCACTGTACCCTTGAAAACGCAATGGCATTAACTAAATAAGAAAAATACTGCATTCAATATCAGCTGAAATAGTTAAATAATACAAACACAATGTAAGAACACACATATTTGAATCATATACAAAAGCACCAAAGGCTGTGTGTTCAATCACTGATAACACAATGGTACTACCTTGAGATCAGGGATGGAGAACTTGCAGCAGGAAGCCTGGTTTGTTTTGGCAATGGTTCTTTTGAGTTTCTCTACATTTGTCAAACTGGTCTTGTCCAGAGGCACAGAAATTAGCCACAAGTCAGTCATGGCTCCAAAAGTGGGTGAGCAAGAAGACAAATGCTCCCGAAAGTGATGAGAAATATACTATTCAACAGAAGAAAATACAGTAAACATGTATTAGATAGTTTTTGTTGATAAAATGTTTGCATTATTTTATATATATTGAAATATAAAGCCAACTAGAGGGGCATGTTAAGACCCCTAAGTAGCCTACATTTAACATTTTTATAAAGAGACATAAATCTAAAATGTCTTACCATCAGGCTATGTTGATGTTCATCTTCAGAGAGTGTCCCAAAGTGAAGGGACAGTGTGAGCAGTGTTGGAGACTGAGCCAACAGCTGACTGTCCCCCGGATCATACTCTCTGTTACATCACCCAGGTGAGGGGAGCAGGCACTTGTTTTGTTTACATGCTTGTTTGGTTTGCCACTATGGGTACTTACCTGTGGCTACACGACACTTCATTAGAAGACATCCCAGAGAAGACTATACAATTTTTTTTAAAAAAGGAACAAGTTATAATGGATGGAACTGTGACACTGAAAATAATACTAATATTAACATTGAATTTTCTGCTTCTTGCCTGTTTCATGGAAAAAGTACTCACAATATCGCACATAACCCATAACCTATGCTAATTTTAAACTTTCATTAATTAACTTAATACATACTTAGATTCATTATCAATCTAACAACAGAAAATACGTCAACTTACACGTATGACTACCGAACCGATCATTATTAAAACAGTAGTAGTAGAGTAACTAATTGTGTGCTGAGTTTAAATCTTAAATTAATAAAGCACAATGAATGAAGTAGGAAAGTTTGCACGTGCATCGGTTTCCACACGGACCTATTTGGAAGAACGCTCTACTTCCTGTTTTGCTGCGATGCAGCAACGTGGGTTCGCCGGAGTATACTTGTGTTTAATTATGTGTGACAGCAATAATCTAAACCTTTAACAATGCAGATCTCCAGTATAAATGACGTGAAGATTTATAATTTAAGCCACGGAAAGTCCCTTCCTGAGGTAAGAGATATTTAAAATGTAGGACAGCTTCACCTGGCCATTGAGCTTTCACATTCACGTGTATCTACTATAATAAGACTAGAGAAATGTCTTTAAACGTCTAAATTATTGAGTCATTCTATTGCCATTCAATTAAGTCCGTATTCAACTGTTGCACTCAATAATAAATGAGGATATTATGAAAATAGATGGACTGTAAGCCTGACTTGATTTGCTTGGGGACATTATCTCATTATCCTTCCAACATAGTTCTAAGAACATAATTATAAATACTCAGTTTGGTGTTATTTTATTATAATAACATCACTTTGTCCTCTGCCCCCCAGTGGTTATCAGACAGAAAAAAGAGACAACTTCAAAAGAAAGATGTTGGTGAGTAGGCTTTTATTCTTATCAGTACAATTTAATGTTAAGTTACTATGACAGTTACCTTTTATTATTTATTTTTTCGTTTTTGCAGACATTCAACGGAGGATCGAGCTCATTCAGGATTTTGAAATGCCTACAGTGTGCACCTCTATTAAAGTCTCAAGGGATGGGCAGTACATTCTGGCTGCAGGTAAAACGTGATCAGTATAAAATAAATTCATACATATTCCATCCTTTTTCAATCAAAATGTATTGGTGTTGTCCGTCATTATCAGTAGTTTATTTGTTTCTTTCATTTGATGCACAAATATTTTAATCGCAACCCTCAACCAAAAAGCTAGAAAAACTTGAAAGGGAAATGCACATTTACATTTTGTTTCATTAATTTTCAGGGACATACAAACCCAGGATACGATGTTATGATACGTATCAGTTGTCTCTGAAGTTTGAGCGATGTTTAGATTCAGATGGTATGTACAATCACAGTATTTTTATTAGCCTTTAAAACTCCAAGACCTTTGATTTTTTTTGTCTTTATTATAGTTGTGGCTTTTGACATCTTGTCCGATGACTACTCTAAGGTGAGGCATAATAAAATATATATATCAAATTGATCTGTGTATTATGTTAAGTCCAGAAAAAAAAAGTTATGTTCTGTTTGTGCAGTTAGTGTTCCTCCACTGTGACCGTTATGTCGAATTCCACTCGCAACATGGACACTACTACAAGACGCGGATTCCAAAGTTTGGGAGAGACTTTTCATACCATTATCCATCATGTGATCTTTATTTTGTTGGCTCAGGGTAAAGGCTTATTTTATTTATTTAGAAATGGAAAGAAATTTTGATGCATTTTTGTTGCACATGTGAATTTATTGACACTGGTTTTATTCCAGATCTGAGGTATACAGGCTGAATCTGGAGCAAGGGCGCTTTCTGAACTCTCTTCAGACAGATGCTGTGTATGTAGCAGACACATTTTTAGGCATTTTATTTATCTTAGTCTTTACGTTTATGTATCTTATGTTTTACTTTTCAATTAGCGAGCACAATGTCTGCGATATCAACCCTGTTCATCAATTATTTGCCACTGGAACATCTGAGGTAAGTGCTCTCAATTGCTTGATACACACTTGAAACATTATTGTGAACACTTTATTTATTTACTGTCATACTAGAAGAGCATTGGTTGACTTGAACTTCTTTTATTTTAAGGGTAGGGTGGAGTGCTGGGACCCCCGAGTGAGAAATCGTGTCGGTCTATTGGACTGTGCCCTTAGCAGTGTCACCGAGGGAACAGAGTAAGCTAGGCCAATATAATAGGAACTCACATCATACTATTAATATACGTTTATGAATATGTGTCTTTTTACTCTCTTTTTACTATTGAGACATAACACCCATTTTTATTCTGACAGAGTTCAAGCTTTGCCTTCAGTTAGTGCCCTGAAGTTCAATGGGTCTCTCACAATGGCAGTTGGGACCAGCACTGGACAGGTGAGATCGATTATATTTGATTAAATGAATTTTTCCAATCTCAAGATAACTGAAACTAAAAACAGTTTTGTTTTGTTTTCCTTTTTAAGGTTCTGCTGTATGACCTGCGCTCTAGTCAGCCGCTCCTGGTTAAAGACCACTTCTACAATCTTCCAATCAAATCTCTAAACTTCCATGACCCTCTTGATCTGGTGGTCTCTGCTGATTCCAAGATAATAAAAATGTGGAATAAAGACTCGGTAAGAAAGACTAAAAAGTGTAATAATAATAATAATAATTCAGCTATATGCTAATGCTCTAACTTCAAACTTGATTTATTTGATTTGATTTGAAGCTATTAAAAATGATATTTGTCTAATCTTCTTTTTGTCAAAGGGCAAAGTGTTCTCCTCTATTCAGCCTCCGACCAACATCAATGATGTCTGCATGTATCCAAAGTCCGGTAAGAATCCTTCATATTTATTTAGTTTTTACAAGCTTCTCTTTATAGTAGTCAATTATTCACTTCACACATAGTGTTAGTAACCTATGTAACATATGTAACCACAGTTGCTCTCAGGTTGACTTTACAAAAATACTATTTCCATTCTGGTGTCTGATCACCATTGTGGGTGAAGTGTCTTGCCCATGGACACATCAAACCATTTATTTTCCACTTAGTACTGTACTATGTGTTTTGCTTTGCACCAGAAGATGGCATCATTCTTTTTAATATTCACTGGCAGGGCTCAGAATACTTTTTACCAGATATACTAAAACTGGAGCTCCATCTAGTGGAATGGGAGGTACTCTGTAGTTGTAGTGGTTGCTTAAAGGTTGTATAGAGGATTTTCCAAGGAATGAGAAATCCAGCGACTGTTTGTCCTTTTTCAAATGTTGCGCATGCGTGAAACCACCCCCCCTCCCCTACAGCTCCCTACGTAGAAACGCCTCCTCCCGCCTCCTCCTTATGCCAGAAACAGGTTTGTTTACAGCCGGTGCGCTGCACATGACTTGTAAACAACTAACTACAGTGTTGGTTAGGCAAGACGGAGAAGTGAGGAGCGGGGGGAGCGGGTGCGTGGACATTTCGTGCGCGGACGAGAAGTGAGGAGCAGCGGGAAGAGCGGAGAAGGGAGAGGAGAGAGGAGAGGGGAGCGGTACGCGGAGATGCCGTGCCCGGAGAAGTGAGGAGCAGGGGGAAGAGCGGAACGGGCAGCGGGGACAGGAGCAGGAAAGGGGTGCAAAGAAGGGTGCGCGGAGATTCAGTGCGAATGAACTAGCTACAACACGCAGCAGCAAGCGGACTCTTTCTTTGCCTTGAAAATTACGTTTTCAGACATAGGATATCGCTTTCGTGTCCTGAAAAACGTTTGTCTAGCTCTTGGAAATAAAGAGTAATTTGGCGACCAATGCGTCAGTCTTTAGACCCTGCGTCTGCTTCAGTTGCGCCATCGCTGGAATGAATCTTCAAGAATCACCTTAGTTTGGCTTCGCTGCTTTTCCCCTTGTCTTCTTCTTTCAGCAATCTCAAAAACGGACTTTCTTTTGCGGCGAACTGCTCCTGGATTCTTGTCTGCCATTGCAACAAACTTTGTGTTAACTGCGAGGACGATATAGGTAAAAAAAAAAGCCGCTAAGAACTGTTGCGTTGGTGGAGTAAACAGCGTCTGTGCGGCTTGCGTCTGTGGACTGCGTGACAGGCGTACGTAAACCACGTACCGGCGGCGCGCAGGCAAGTCAGTTACGCTAGAAACGTAGGGAGATTGATTGACAGCCTGTCAGCTAACAGATAACGAGGCAATGTCGTTATCTATTGGCAAATGTTTAGCCCCACCACGTCCAGAGTTGATGAATTTTTATTCTCTTTTTTTTGGTCATCATAATTACAAGGCTACTGCATCTCTATAATGCTATCATTGACAATTTGAAACAAAAAAAACATCCTCCATACAACCTTTAATCTTGTGTGCATTTGAGCCCTTTTTTTTGTCTTCTTTGGTAGAAGTTCTGTATCTTAAACCTAGTTTGGCCCTAATTCAAATCTGGTGGTACTATGAAAGCTAATGCCTTAAGGTGGTGTGAAAAGTTTTAAAGCTGTACAGGTTTGAACAAGTTATGTCACTGTTAAGATACATTTTATTATGCAACATGTCTGATTCTGCATCTCATTTACAGGTATGCTCTTCACTGCCAATGAAGATCCTAAAATGAGTACATTCTACATCCCTGTAAGTTAATACAAATAAATATTGCTTTGAGCTTTTCTCTGCACATTTTATGTCATGAGTTACAAATACACCACTTTCTACTAAATACTAAAGAATTTAATTTTACCCTTTAAACTGGGGACAAGGTCTATGTGTCCCATGCTGACAAAGGTTGTTGATACCCCCACTGACACATGATTTTATGCATACCTTGAATGCCTGCCTTTTTTGGAGAAGCTTGTGTTTATTGTAAATGTGTAAATGTGTTCAGTTTAGACATAACACAGACACAGCGATCTTGAGTTCCCTTGACCTCTATCAGACAGTCAGACGCTCTGTTTCCCTCATGATCTGAAACACAGGCATTTTTACGATAGTGTTTGGATTGTGGTTTTTCACTCTTTGTGCTGGGGCCAATTTGGAGAGATGTTCAGAGCTCCCCAGAGATCACACGTTTGCTTCTACTTAAACTCTGAGGATATGATGTCATTCTCTGTGTAGCGTTGCCACATAATGTACTGACCGAAGTGAGCTCTGTTCTTTGATTTGTCCCAAAACCGTATTTAGGGAAACCCAACTAAATTAATTATGGTAATTTATTTTAGGGCTCCCACTAAGTTGGTAGTTATTCTTTGATTAAATGTTGCTTGAGAAGAAATGTTGCTTGAGAACATCTTCATAGAATATATTGAGAGCAAAATGTGTTATTATTTAAAACACACTTTTCTGTTCTAGGTCATGTCATAAAACATCTCTCACATGGCAAATTCTGAAAAACAATCTTAATGATTTGATTCGTTGCAATTAATCAGTTAACTTGTTTCAGTCCTAATTTATTTACAGTTTTTTTCTTGTTGGATTACCCGTTTCATTTATATTATTGTTAGTTGATCAATATTTCTTAGTAGTTCAGTTCACAAACAGTGGTTGGCAGGCTGGACTTTGCCCCCATGTGATGAGCTCAGTCAACAGTGCAACTCATAGAAGTTATCTCTACAGTCCATAGTATTTGTTAAGCCCAGTTTGACTTTTGAGCAGATGAGCTAATGAATGTAATGATGTAACAAATTTTGTATCTTGCTTATATTCAACCATTCTATGAAAGTAGGATATTGTAGTGAATTTGTTATCACTTAAAACAACTAAAATGTGTCTGTGAAATGTAGTGGTGTTGATGTGGGTCTAACTTCTTCTAAAGTTTAACCAATACACTGATTCGTCTGTCAATAAAAGCATGTGGTTTAGAGTGATATGTTTGGAGCAGACTTCAGACTTGGGAGGAAGAAACTGAACTATTTCTGGAAATTGTCACTTTCTGGGAATTGATAATAAAAGGCATATTTATAGTTTTTTAGTCAAACAAGATCAAATCAAATTGAACATTGCAATTGGTCAATACAATACAATACAATACAATACATATATACTGCCCAGCCCTGCACGATCTCTAGTACTGTATGTATGAATCAGTTGTGTGTCTGACTTAAATTGACTTGTGTGTTGTAGTCATGTAAATCTGAACCACGTGTGTGTTTAGGCTCTGGGCCCAGCACCGCGATGGTGCTCATTCCTCGACAACCTCACCGAGGAGCTCGAGGAGAGTCCGGAGAGCACGGTTTATGATGACTACAAGTTTGTCACTCGCAAGGATCTGGAAAACTTAGGTGGGTCATTGGGAGTAATCTATTTAGCATCTATCAGTCTATGAAAGCATCTGTCAGTGTTCACAATACAAAAACACTTTAGGTAATAAGGAAAAAGAAATATACTTAAAACCAATCAGCAATGCTCAATATTATAGTGGTCGAACACAGAATAAAGTAGTAAGACTTAGACAAACTTTATTGATCCACAAGGGAAATTTTTTTGGACACAGTAGCACACACATCATATTATATCATATTATATCATATTATATCATAGCAAAGAGGAAACAGTTTCTATAACTTCATCATGCGGTCACCCTACTTCTACTATTACCTAGTATTGATTACTATCTGGGTATTGATTAATAAGTCTATGGATTTTTGACAACTTGGTATTTGTAACTATATTAAAGATTTAAACTTTGAAGCCAGACCTGTAGAAAGGGGTCAAATGGTGTGTGTGGGGTGAAGAATCGCCAGGGAGAGAGCTGCAGCTACTGGAAGGGTTGAATGAACATTGGAATGCAGGCTCAGCAGTAAAGAGATCAAATGACAAGAAGACGAAAAGTGGTTGGCTGCTGTGGAATAAAGGAGAGAAGGGGGCAGGAGGGGCAGGAGGTGCAGGAGGTGTGAGAGGGGCGACAGCCGTGTTGATTTACAGAAGCTGCGTAATGCTCCTGTCTTATGTAACCCTGGGCCCACTGCTGCTACATGTACTGTCTCCCCTCGGGCTCTCCCTTCCACTCACTCTGTCCCACTGACTTTTAGCAGTTTACCCAGTGGAAGTGTCACAGCAATTCACACGCAGTTGCAAATAGGATCCTGTTCTTATTTGGCTTGGATAAGATGATTTGCATTTAAGATTTACTACCTTCTCATACATAAAATTAGAGTTAAAATACTTGCGTCATACTGTTCATTAGTTATACAAAATCCATTTAATCCCTTTTATACATGTTGCATAAACCCATAGTTTCCTCTATAAGGGACATATCAACCTGCTGTATTTTTTCTCAGGGTTGTCTCATCTTGTGGGATCCCCTCTGCTCAGAGCCTACATGCATGGCTTTTTCATGGACATCAGGCTTTATCACAAGGTGTGTTGTCCCGCAACTAATACATGAAAATATTCCACTTTCAGTCAATTCTTCATTTAATATTTTTACTTAATTAAACTCTTTTATTTGATAATTGCAGGTTAAAAGCATGGCAAATCCATTTGCTTATGAGGAATACCGTAAAGATAAGATTCGGCAGAAGATTGAAGAGTCCAGGACCCAGAGAGTGCAGTTAACAGTAAGATCCAATCCAGTCCGCTTTATTTATATAGCACATTTGATAAACAAACAGTTTCCAAAGTGCTGCACAGGTACATAATAACAACAATAATAATATAATGATAAAATAAACACTCAGATTTAATGATCTATGAATATTTTAAAGTGCTTATGACATTTTGATTTCTAATTTTTACTTAATTTGTTAGTATTAAAACTATTGTAAATATAAATGATAGTTTTACACCAAATAAGAAGAAATTTATGAAAATATTTTGACAATTACAGGAAGCAGAGAGGTCTAAACACACTGATGACATCGTACTAGGTAGAATTATATCCAAACAATTGGCACAATTTACGTACATTTTTTTTAATACTTAATATATTATTTCAACCAAATAAAGATTTTTTCTTCTATTTGTATTTGTTAGATCATTACTTTGTACATTAGAGCAGCATTCCCCAACCTTTTTTGCACAATTTCCAAACAGGAAGTAACATTTTTTTTTGTTTTTGTCTTAAGTATAATGATCTTAACTATATTTCTGTGAAATTAGTAACTAAATAGTAACTTAACTAAATGGACGGAATGGACTTTTTTATGTTCAATACATAATGTCAGTAACTATTATGTGTACAAATTAATTGTACTCAAGTGTCAAACATCAAAAGCTATAGAGGCAACAGTATTTTTTTTTTTTATCTTAACCCCAGTTTAAATGTGTCATCCAGGGAAATTAATATCTTACTAACTAGGCTTACTACTGTCCTATAAACCTCTAAACTCTATAAACAACTGTTTTAGCAGACACAGAATATTTTGTAATCCTGTTATTTTCTGTGGCACAAATGTCTGGTTGACATTTTGCTCTGGATTTACCAGAAATTGCCCAAGGTCAACAAGGAGCTGGCACTGAAGCTGATGGAGGAGGGTGATGACGAGGCAGAACTTGCTTCTAGGAAGAAGAAAGGAAAGGTCTGCATGTTCTGTTTTGTTTACTACCTGCCATGACACATCACTGACATCACTCATTTCATTCTGCTTTAATCCATATTGGATTTGCAGGCCGTTCCTAGTATTCTGGGTGACGATCGTTTTAAGGTGATGTTTGAGAACCCAGACTATCAGGTGGATGAGCAGAGTGAGGAGTTCCGCCTTCTCAACCCCATCGTATCTAAAGTTGGCCAAAAGAGGAAGAAGAAACTGAAGTTGCTTTCACAGCAGGCTGCAGCTGCTCAAGAGGTAATGATAGACAGGTTCATAGTGTTAAAAAAAAAGGATGTTACAATACCCTGTGGAAGGAAGATCATGGTTTTACAATTATTCTGAATCACGGGCGTCTTGCCAAACTACGGTGAAATCCTTCTCTTACATTCATAGTACCTGATAAATAAAGATAGACACAAAGAAAAGATATTAGTAAGCTTTGTTGAATGAGTCATCTTTGGTGCTCATATCCCAGCAGAAAACATTGCGATGAAGGGCGTGGCTGATTAGATGACGATGAGAAGACGTGACGTAATGGCAATTAACACTTACGTTGATTTTTGGGGAGGAGTGTAACTTTACTTCTAAAATGGTCACGACATTGAGTATTTTTTAGTTCTTACATACGCATCAATTATCAGTTATGTAAATAATCCCGTCCTATATGTTCTACTGTTTATAACATTTGCACTTATTTTATGAATAATTGTATTGACTGTGTTGTGTTGACTCTTGTGATCTCTAAGTCATGTTAGAATGTTGTTACCTCATCAAAAACATCTCTAGAGTTGTGTTTTCTTTCATTCACACATGTATGAGTAATCCTTTTATTATTCTGTCTACATTTCCAAAGCTCAAAAGGCTCTGTTCCACCTTGTGATGTCATGGAGCGGTAGTTTTCATGTTAGCAGCTACCTTTTACCTTTTGTTCAGTTGAGAATGGCAATTCCAGGTCTGAAATTATCTAAATAATTCTAGCAAAGGTGTATGGAGTTGTGACGCACTTCCTGTATTATCACATGACATCAACAGGTGAAACGGGGTGTTTTCTGTTTATAAATATGCAGAGTTTGTGTGTTAAACATGTGTGAATGAAACACAACACATCTCTAGGTATGTTTTTCACATGACAATACAACATTATAACATAGTTCAGAAAATCGTGTAATATAGGCCTTTTAATTAGTAAAGAAAGGCAGCATCTCAAACAACAAACTATTGAATCTGACCATGAATTAACAAGCTGAAGTGTTATTATATAGTGTAGACATTGGAGTTAATTGACATTTGCCCATTGTGTCCGACTGTCCAGGAGGCTGAGGAAGAAGAGCCTGAAGGTCGTCCCAGTTCAGAGGAGGAAAGCTCAGATGATGATAAGAGCTGGGTGGAGGAGGTGAGGGAGCAGAGACGACTTCTGAGACAGGAAGATCGCGAGCGCCGCATACAAGAGAGGAAGGATGCTGACCGCAACACTGTCCTACTGAACCGGGAGCAGAACGGAGTATCCAGACCCAATATGCCCACAGCAAAGAAGATCAACCAACCTCAATTCTATCAGATTAAAACTGGAGAAGAGTTCCGCAGTTTTAATGACATGGCCCACAAGCAGAAACTCCAAAAGTATGTAATAAATACTGTAATTGGTGACGTTTTTGGATTTAAATTAAAATCAGATGTCACTGACAGGTGTCTTGGATCATGAAATATTGATATTTGATTACTTTGGCTGAATTCTCACTGTAATAAAACATTTAACAGGAATCCTATAAGGGTATTAAGATATGTTTTTTTTTTTTCCTAGGGCATCTCTGGAGGAGCGCCTGAAGCTGGAAGAGAACTCTGGAATAAGCAACATGGCTGACACAGCAGTGGGAAGCAAACAACTCACTTTCACTCTTAAAAAAGTATAATACAATAATGCTAAAACATACTAAAATAGACCAGAATCTCTTGGAGCTTTCTGAAACATTTCTCTTTGCTTTTAGTCGGAGCAACAGAAGAAGCAGCAGCAGGCGGAGAGAGACCACCACGCAGAGAGGAAGAAGCTGAGGCGGTCGGCCGGGCACCTGAGCAGCGCCACAGGGAGGGGCCGTGGGAGAGGGAGGGGACGAGGACGAGGTCGATTTTGAGGTGTCCTGTTAAAAGTCTATCCTCAAATCTGATCTTTCACTCAGAGATGCCTTACAAGTGAAGCGTGTGGGAGCCTCAGCACTAGGCAAGACTGACTGTAACAAATGGACATGTTTGTGGAAGGGCTCTGCAAACAGGGCAATGCCATGCGCATTATAAGCATGGATTAAAATGTTTAATTTCATTTTTGAAAATGGACAAATTAATTGTGACTGAGTAGGCCATTTAGGAGGTTTTTAAAATTCATTGGGGTACACCAATGCTTTCTTTCTAATGTTGTTGGTATATTTTTTTGTGTGACTATTTGTGTAACAAGTTTTAAGAAGACTTGTTGTCTCATTGTTTAAAATTGGATTAATATGTACTATATTATATTTGGTACAAAACAAACTTGACTGACTGTAATTTTTCATAGCATGAAAAAACAGTTAATTGTAATTAATTATTAAGGTTGTACTCTGAAACACATTCCTCCTATATGCTGATGTTACCTTATAGCGTCTATACAAGCATTACATTCTCCCGGGCTTAGGAGTAGTTACATCAGACGTGCGTAAAGGGGTGGAGAAAAGTGAGTTTTTTCCCCCTCAGCCAACTGCTGCAGTTCTTGGAAATACCAGAACTTCTTGGGTGTCCTTCCCTTCCCCCTCTGCCTGCTCTCCCTGCTGCCGGAGTGTCTGATTCAGGACTCGGCCCCTTTTTAAAAAGTGAAGGAGGAGTATGGCATCAGTGGCTTGTTTGAACTCACTTTGATGTTGAATTGTAGTAGACTTGAGCTTCTTTAGTTTCAAGGCGGGAAAAGAATCAAACTAAACATCCAAACAAAATTGTTTAAAAGTGCATTTTTTGGTTATTTTAATTGGCTACTGTGACTATATTTCTAGACACATGAACAAAAACTGGCCTGAGTACTGGGCTGGCTAATAGCTTAAACTGTTGGTGGCAAGAGACATCCACATTTTACATAGAAATGAGCTGCTAACAGGAAGCCATGTGCCTGGAGTTCATGTTTGTTGTGTTAATTGAATTCATCCAGGGTAACTGAGGGTTGTGGGTCAGTCAAGGCTCTACACTTAAATCCACTTAAACCATTAGGAGGTCTGTGTTTATGTCTCACAGGTGTCAACAACACGCTCTGAATATTGGTTAGGTTTGAAATAGGATTTAAGAGCAGTGATAAATAGGTCAGGACCTAAAAGATTTTTTTTTAGTTCAGTCCAGTTGACTTTATTTGTACCCGTAGGTAGATTTGTTTTGCAGCAGTTTTAATGTTTGCCATCAGTACAGTTTGGATAATAACATGACCGACACACATAATCAAACTATTCAAAACAGCAACATTTCTTCACAAGGATGGTAGCTGAGGGAACAAACTGTTATGTTGAAACACCATTGTATATCAAGAAAATAATGTTAAAATACAATTTGTGAATTTCTATGTGTAACATAGTAACATCTTTAGAACTATGGCAGTAGTTTAATTTTTAAAGACAATAGTGCTGTTATGTTGAATTCACAAATTGGTCATTATACTGAACCAAACAGCTAGATGGTTTTAGGTCCTTTATTCATACATATTTTAAAATATTTTAGTTTCTGAAAAGACATGCATTCTTTGTATGAGCTAGATCTTAGATATACTATTAAACATTTGACTATACACCTTTACTTCTCCCTAAATCCTGAATGGGAATGAATGAAGAGTCTCTGGTACAGGCCTTTCTTCCAACAGGATCAAAGCTGTAGTGAAAAACGCTGATGCTGCTTGTTACTCCGGGCCAATCCCTGGAGCCACAAAAGATGTTCCAGTGAAAATGTCGGTACAAGTTTTTTTTCAGTCTTCACACTGCCCAGTGAAATGACCGGACAACTCAACCTTGAAAGAAGACCAAAAATGATGAGCCAGCACAGGAGAGATAAAACAACTTTGCTCTCATCACATCAGGGCTGACAACTGGGTCAACTGCATGATATTTCTTGCTCTAGAGTTTTAGTTAATATAATAATTCATTACAATATTATATTTGTTTCCTTTCGATTGTAAAATATAGGCCTCATAGCATTAATTTATTTTGCATACAAAGTTGGACCTGACATAAGGGTTGACAATGATTCTCATGGCTGCATTTTATTGTTTGATAATGTAATACCATATTTCTATACATTTTATATGATAGGCCTACAAAATTTTCCCCCATTACAACTACATTAAGGAAACTACTTCAAAGGAAACACAATCTTCTGTATTTTTGTTTGTCTAGATACAGCCTGCTTGGTGATTCGTTCCACTCCCAAACCTAGGAAATATAGCATACTTTAACACTGTAACCCATAGAGCATGATGTCAGTGCATATGTTTGCCTTTAAGATGCTGTGGGTGTGCAGTCACGCATCTAAAAATACCACACAACGGTTCCATAAGCCATGTTAAACCTTTCATTTGCTTCCTTTGTATATGGTCCCGTGGTGCTTTGCCAGATCCAGTGTGACCCTAATTACAAACCACCCATTGTTAGTGTATACCTCATAAAATAGTCTAGACATCTCACCTGGATTCTTTTAGTCTTTATGTTTTATGCTTTCCATGATGATATCCCTGAAGAGTTCTGTATATGAAATTAAGATGCAATGTAATCTGAGTTTTCAAATGAGGGCACCAAGTCTAGCCTGCTCTTTCTGACCAGGTGGATGAGGTCCGGTAAATGCAGCCTAAAAAGTGCCATTTCTTGGTTTTGCAACAGTGATATACAGTGGAAGACACAGAGCAACACATCAGTCAAAACATCCTACTTATACTCAAAAACTTACTCTCTTAGAAACATTAAAACTGAAATGGTATTCAAAGCTACATTGTTCAAAATTATTCACATTTGTTGTTGTCACATTTTGTTTAGGCCTACTACAACAAAAGGCTTATCTTTCAAACCAAACAATGTTAAAAGATAAGTTACCCTCCAGTTTCATTATGCCACGGTCAAACAGGATTGGCCTTGATAGCGTGCTGAAAAATAAAATAAAAATAGGTTTTATACTCGGGGGAAGAGAATGGGACCTATTGTTGTAATTAGCAAAATAACTGAATCAAAAATAATAAAGCAGTCAAAAATCCCATTAGGTTTTAGATCTTGTGATTTTGCATGACAGTGATAAGCATCTGTGGGAAGTGACTTGAACACTTACTTCCTGCCTGCAAGCAGCAGATCTGTGAAAAGAATTATAAGGGTTGTTGATGAAGTTTAGTAAAAGGACAATGAAAAAACAAAACAGACAACAACAGACTGATATAGAAAAATGGGCTACAATGATGCAATTTTGATGGTGTTTTTTAAAATCAGAAAAAGCCATTAGGATACGTGGATCTTTGTCCTAGTTCTTATACTGATACTTTTTCCATGGTGAGATCACACAAATTATAGGTTGTTTTTAGGTTAGGCCTATGTGCAACAGTAGGCTATGTCCCAACAAAGGAAAGGCCTACCACCAATGGATTTTTTATGTAGCCTTTTGATGCTATCCTCTATGCCTTATAATAAAACATGTAGGTAACAACATTTCTAAAACATAGTGAGTGGCTATGATTAGGTCTATGGAATAGGCCTAGTTGTAGAAAGTGCCTATTATTTATTTTATTTTTTTCATTTCAAAACCCGTTTGTCATGATTGAAAGGCCAGTTAAGTTCAACTCTATTTCACACTTTTTTCCCTTTTAGACAAAGGCACAGATTTCAAACTTGACACCATTGTTAGTTAAAAGATGAAACACTCTTTTGAAAGTTTGCCAGAGACAGAGGGGGGAAAGCCAAAAGTATCTATTCACAGAATGAAAGGAGAGACCGGTTTGAACAGGCTCCGTTACTTCGTTACCACTACTTTTGTACTCCCATTCCGTCCCTCCCTCCTGTCCTCTGTGTCCTGACTCCTGATGAGCGCCATGAGGATGCGGGACAGGAATGAACCGGTTCGCGTGGGGGAGGGAGGAGGGCGGCCGGTTTGATCTGGCTGCGTTGCTGTGGGAACGGCCTCCTATAAATACCGCGGGCTTCCCGGATCTTCTACAGTCTCACGGCGCGAAGAAGAAGCAGACAGCCTGGCAGCAGATTTCACCAAGGGGGAACTGCTGTAATTTACCCAGTACACGGATCTAATGGGACAACTCTTTGTAAATGCTTTTTAAGGTGAGTGAAATATTTGATCCGTGGTGGGTAGCTATACGGTGAAAGTAACCAGTAATTTGCAAAAAAAAAAAAACTATAGTTAACTCGTTTCTAAAGAATGACGTTAAATGAATCTGTACCACTAACCAATAACAGGTAACGTTATCTATTAGAATGACTTAACGAAACAGTATTTTATTCATTTCAACTTCTTGACTGCGTGGCTTCGGTGCTAGCTTAGCAATTTAGCACGCTACTACGTAATCGTAACAGTTTTAATAGTTCACTTTTTTGTAAAATGTCCATATCGTGTAGTAGGTAATGTTGTACTTTAGGGCTGTATTTTTGAGTTAGACAGACTTAAACTGTTGTAATACCGCAGATTAGCATTTCTCGCCCTACATTGCCGCATGGCCGGAACCGGCACAGGACTCTGACGTCTTCGTCCATTGCTTGCCGTCCATTGGCTCGTAGCGGTGGCTCTCCTGACTCAGAGGGAGGATCCTCGTCCTAATTGGGCTGAGGCAGAGCTGGGCGGGCCCTCGCGTGTTTCAGTGGCAGATGGTGTCAAATTGTCATGACACAGTTATAATGTTCTGGCTTAAAGTACTGCATATGCCCTGATGCGCATTATTTTTGTATTTGCATTGGAATCTGGTATCTACTAAATTGTGGTTGAGAACAAGTGTCATTTGATATTTGATAATTGTGTGTATTTCGCAGAATCGTCATTCTAGAAAATCAGACACTGGCTACTTGCAAGGCCCTGGCCTGGAGGCTTATTTGAAAGGGTTTAACTTCACTGGTGAACCCCCTTGGCTTCTCTGCACCTGAGCAACAACCAGAATAGATTCTGTTGATTTTATATTCCAGTAAGTACAGTTTCACATTAAATATTCCTTACATGGTCATATTCCTACCCACTTTGCCTCAGTAAACATTGGTGCACTGGGTTCTACTCGGCACCTCACAATGGGTTGCTTTGTTTTTGCAGCTTCTTTGTAACAAACTCAAACACTGACCATGAACCCTACTGCTGCACTTGACTTTTCATTCCTGGAGGAGGGCTTTTCTGCCCGAGATGTTATTGAACAGAACATCAATGAGTCATCCTTAACAGTAAGCTGTCCTCAACATTTTGTTATGTGATTGCAGTGTCAAAAGTTTCCTTTTAAATGTAGCTTACCTTTTTGCCTTTTTGCTGCAGGATGACAGAGATGCCTTCTATGTCTGTGACTTGGGTGACATCTTGAAAAAACACTTGCGTTGGGCAAGGGCCCTGCCTCGTGTCACTCCGTTTTATGCTGTCAAATGCAATGACAGTCGGAGTGTTGTCACCACGCTTGCATCATTGGGAACAGGCTTTGACTGCGCTAGCAAGGTGCATATTCTGCAATTACTACTTTTTTGTAAGAGAGATAGTACAAATAACTGTTTGCTTATCATGACATTTTTCAGACCGAGATTCAGCTGGTTCAGTCTCTGGGTGTGGATCCAGACAGAATTATTTATGCAAACCCCTGCAAACAAGTATCTCAGATAAAGTATGCATCTGCCCATGGGGTCCGGATGATGACGTTTGACAGTGAAGTCGAACTCATGAAGGTAGCCCGCTACCATGACAATGCCAAGTAAGTAACAAGATGTCTGCTGCTTTTCTTGTTCCTTTGTTGTCTATTTTCCAGAGGGGTGGGTTACCCAAAGGATACAAGAGTTAGTTATTGTCTTCTGTCTCCAGGCTTGTGCTGCGTATTGCCACTGATGATTCAAAGGCAGTGTGTCGCCTTAGTGTGAAATTTGGAGCCCCAATCAAAGCTTGCAGAGGTCTTCTAGAAAAGGCTAAAGAACTGTGCCTGGATGTCATTGGTGTTAGTTTTCATGTTGGAAGTGGTTGCACTGATCCTCTGACATACAGTCAGGCTATTAGTGATGCCCGCTGTGTTTTTGATATGGGGGTAAGCAGCAACAAGTTTCTATAGTTGTTTTTTTTTTTTTTTTATTGTGAATGTTGCATCTAAATATTTGTACCTCAGGATGAGCTGGGCTTCAACATGAACCTGTTGGATATCGGAGGTGGCTTTCCTGGTTCGGATGATGTGGATCTCAAATTTGAAGAGGTATGTTTATTGTTGGTAGTGATGCCATCAAGTTAGTGCCATTTTATTAACCCAATCTCTATCCCTTTTAGATCACAGCAGTAATTAATCCTGCACTAGACAAATACTTCCCTGTTGACAGTAAGCTGAAGATCATAGCTGAGCCTGGGCGCTTTTATGTGGCATCTGCTTACACACTGGTTGTGAATATTATTGCTAAGAAAGTTCTCTTGGATGATGACAATGCATCTGATGGTAAGTTTCGTCCAAATGTTCTTTGTGCAAGTTTCCTCTCCAAATGCTTGTCTTAAAAGCTTGCGCTGCTTTCACAGAGGAGGATGAAGGGACCACTGATAGGACCATTATGTATTATGTCAACGATGGTGTTTATGGATCTTTTAACTGCATTCTGTATGACCATGCTCACTGTCTTCCTTCACTGCATAAGGTAAATATAATGTCTTGCATATTTCAATCTATAATGCCTGACTCAGTCTTAATAATTTTCTGTCTTTGTCAGAAGCCAAAGCCAGATGAGCCCTTGTACCCTTGCAGCATTTGGGGCCCCACCTGTGATGGTCTGGACCGCATAGTAGAGCAGTGCACTCTGCCCGACCTCCAAGTGGGAGACTGGTTGGTGTTTGAGAACATGGGCGCCTATACTGTGGCTGCGTCTTCCACATTCAATGGCTTCCAAAGACCGGACATTCATTATGTCATTTCACGGCCATCATGGTAAGGAGTTCAACAACTGGAAATGCATTTGCTTTGACTTTATTATTGAGGATAAAACATTTGTGTTTTTAGGCAACATGTCCAGAAGATCTCATCCCAAGGCCTTCCAACTCAAGAGTTGTGTGTGCAGGAAATGCCAGTGTGCTGTGGCAGAGAAAGTGTTGCAGAATTACCCACCAAATCCTGTCAGACTCATGTGGTCTAAAGGCTACCATTAAAGCAGTTCTTTCATATTATGGCCAGTTATCTGACAAGGAGAGATGCATGTTGCACATATTTTTGTTCAGCAATGGCAGCTTGATACTGTTTTTGAACTTGCATTTTACAGTTCTCTTTTCATTTTAAAATGAGACATTTTGATGCAAAGGTTTTAGTAACTTTCTTTAGAGACGCTAAGTACCTGATATTTTAAGAAATGCATCTTTAACTTGTGTTTCTAAATATCAGTATGAACTTCAGTCTTGTATTCTTATACTGACGCAACAGGCACTCAAAGCATATGGTTACTCTCCTTTATTTATCATTTTGACACATTAGGGTTTAAAAATTCAATGTTAAAACACAGGTGGATATGAAAGATACAGGATTGCACATTCATTTTGCTTTCCTGTGGAAGCTTGTTAAAAAGGAAAAAAAAACTTTTGTATTTTTTTAATAAAATAAAACTGTAGAGACAGCCAGTCTGGTGTGTGTTAATAACTCAATATGGGTCAGTTTATACAGTCTGTTCATACATACCATACAGCTCACTTTGTATTTTTACTTATTCTCAGTCAAATCAGCTCTGAGAGGGGAATGGATAGTAAAATACAAAGTACAAGTTCCTAAATCTTTTTTCTTTTTTTTTGTGAGATATGCTTCAGCTTTGACAATCACTATTGTATTTACTCAGGATTTGAAACCTGAATGTTGCAGAGTGCTTGTTCCCGCTTAAACTCAAAATTACAATTACATTTCTTTGTGCTCCAAAGACTTCAGAGACATGAATGAATTGAAAATTAGGCAGGAGTAGTGAGGTTTTAAAGAAATTAAGATGCAATGTCTCCATCTGGTGGACAAATTGCATGTCGACATACAACTACAACTATATATATATATATATACATACATTTGAGGCTGTCTGCTAGGATCTCACATCAAAGCACATAGTTACTCTCCATTATTTATAATATTGACTTTGAATATTCAATATTAAAACACAGGTGGATACGAAAGATACTGGATTGATTTTTTTTTTAAGTGTAGAGGCAGAACCAGTGTGGTGTGTGTCATTGTTAATATGAGACAGTATGTACACAGTGTAAAGAAATTAATGCAATGTACTGTCTCCATCTGGTAGACCAGCTCAACAATCCTAATGCAATTGCTCAGGTTCAGTTACATTGTGTTTAGAGGCTGTCTACTAGGATCTCACAACAGGGATGCCCTTCTGCTCATAATGCTTCCTAATGTACTCTGAAATGGCGTTTACATTATTGAGCTCTTTTTTGAACACTATGATGTAACACTTAGGAGCTAAGTGAGCACATAGGATGCTAAAGCTGGATACGACTGCAGCTGCTTCCTCAATTACACTTTTGTAAATACCAACCAGATTTATATAAACTGGAAGTAAAAGAGCCCAGATAATTAGGAACAGCAACGTACTAATGGCAATTGAGCTTGCATTTTTATACAGATCTGGGAGTTGTCTTCCTTTTTGAGCAAATGAAGGAGACAAGTCCAACAACAGCATTATAACCAAACATGGCTACATAGAAACACAGACAGTTCATTTCACAGACATTGATGTTATATAATTCAAATTTGTGTACAGTCGGTTTAGGGGGGTTGATGTACATCCAGGCAACACCTAGGATCAACTGGATTCCTGGGACAAGAATCACCACTGCCAGTGGCTGGTTTAGTTTCTTCAGCCAAAAAGCCACCCTTTGGTTAAAGTTGAAACCCACTAATATTTGAAGTGAGTTGGCCAGTATACAAGATAGACAAAGACAAAAGGCTATACCAAATATGGGAAGGCCCAACATACACTTTGTAGGATTTGGGAATCCAGGGAAGGTAAAGCCAATGCTAAAACACACCAGTAAAGACAAAATCTCCAGACCGCACAAGTAACCACCAATGGATTTAACAACAGGAGTGTTAAAATGAATAGAGAATAATACACCAAAAGTGACAGTTATAACAAGGCCAAGAATCTCCAGAAGTGACAGAATGACACTGAAGGGATCTGTCCAGCACAGATACTTCACTGTTTTATTGAGACATTTGTCTGTTTGAGGAGAGGAATACTGGTCTTCACCACACTTGACACACTTTTCTCCTATAAAACAAACAAACAAACAAAAATAACTAATTGACCTATTTAGAAACAAATTCAATTAGTATGGCTTTATAATATTAGAAAAATAATCCTGAAAGAGAAAATATCCAACTATGCCTACTTTAAACTCCACACCAGAAAATGAGGAAGTGACTGTACACAGTACACAGTAACCTAATTCACAGTGAATTTAAATGTGAATATTTTTGACTAATCTGTAATAAGGTTTAGGCACTAGAAGGATGTTAAAAATGTTGTAGTATTTTATTAATTTTATTGTAATTAATTGCAGTGGGATAATATATTAACTCACCTTTTTCAATAGAGTAGAATCCGGGATTACATTTGTGACAATGTTTACAGCAAGTTCTTTCAGACACTAACTCATGTCCAGGGTCACATGTTTTGGAGCAGTTGAACACAGACACCTTTAAAAATGTAGTTTTTTCTTTGTAAGTGTCCAGTTATGCTTCATATAATTTTACAGAAGAGCACTCACCTCCGCATTGCTTTTTTGTTTAACAAGATGGTCTGAAATGCTAAAATGTCCATTAGGCCAGTACTCGCCGACAGTTTGAATTTTTGGAGAACCAGAAATGTTCCAGTACAAAATATCATACCCCAAACTTGGGTCTCCATTTTTGTCAAAGAATATACTTGTGTTCTTTACAGTGAAGTTAACTTTTCTCATTTCCTGGAATAGCTGCAATGAAGGCACAATAATAATTTTTTGTTATCAAAATCAAATATGGAATTAGTAATGTAAATGAGTATATTCAAAAATTCTACCTCTGAAGCTTTAAAGGGTGTTGTCCGCTCACACTGTTGGTTGTCACACCTAAGTAACTGCCTCAAACTTTCTGCTATTACTTGTACAGCTAAGTAGATGTTGTACGATGTATCTTGATCAATGTGAGGTACCAGGCACCACTGGTCTGGACATGGGACATTAAAAGTCTTTAATGTGGTGTTATACTCAGTGGTCTTATTTATGACATATTCTTTAAATCCTAAGACCTCACTCCTTTTAGAAATGCATCCAAAAACATCCCCAGTAACATTTAGCCTAAAGAGCTCTATGGACGTGGACCATGAGTCACTTGCGATCCATGTTCTACTAAGGTTTTGTTTCATTACTTCATTCAAAATGATTTTAACATTGATCTCACGTGTGAACAGTATAATGGCTTCTGCTGTAGATGTCCTAATTGATTGTAATAACTCAGAAAGCACGTTATTGTTATCGTTTTGAGAAAAATCCCCAGGGAGTATTTTTTGAAATTCAATGCAGATGTTCTTGTTCTTGAAAAGTGAATTGAGACTGTCAGTACCATACTTCCCATACTCATCATCACTTCCCACAATGGCCACTGACTCCCATTTAAACTGACTGACCAGCTCTGCAATAGCTCTGGCTTGATATTCATCACTAGATATAGTTCGCATAAAAGTGGGGAATTTGTTCTTCCTGCTCAGGAGCTCACTGGTTGAGGAATAACAAATCTGTAAAATTACAGAAATGCTCAAGTTAGTGTTTCTTTCTATTTCTTTCGATAGTTTAACACAGAAATGTGCAAACTTTTTTCACAAAGGACCACATCTTGAAATATATCGAAAGCCACAAACTGTTGATCTATATACGGATCATTCAGATGGTGCATTAAATATAATTCTTTTGACAACAGCTGCCACCTCTAAATGACCCATAATATTCTATTTTTGGATCTTTGTTATAATGTTGTTCCTCCATCACCTGGAGTTATGTTTTGTTTCATTCACACATGTTTAATGTAATTAGTCTGAGTTCTTTAGTTAGTCTCTCAAACAGAAAACTCGGCAACTTGTGATGTCATGTGGTAACATTGAAAGCGCTCCACTCTATTTTTATCTCCATACACCTTCACTAGAATCATTTGGGTTATTTCAGCCCTTAACTGCTGAACTGAAGGTAAAAGCATTTTGAGCTTTGGGGACGTAGACAGACTAATAATAGGAGGGTTACTCAAATGTGTGTGAATGAAACAAAAGACAACTCCATGTATGTTTTTGAGGAGATAACATGGCTTAAAGCTCACAAGGATCAATTTTGTATATTATAGGACCTTAATATTTAATTTTAGGTCTGTATCACAATGCAATGTGATGTTTTTCAGGTTATAGTAGTAAAATTATTTAAATTTGCCGTTTAAATTAATACCTCTGTTAAAATGTATGCCTCAGTAGAAGGCCTGAGGACCATTTGACCAGAGTTTAGATCCCCCTAGTTTAAAGCTAAAGTTTAACACAAACCTGAGGAAGTGAAGCCATAGAAGTCACTCGGGCCACGGCTGTGGACAGCTCTGAGGTTCCTGCTCCAATGAGCACTTTGGTTTTACTGTGGAAAGAATCTATGTTTTCGGGCTTAAAACAGCTCCCAGAGTCTGGCTGACCAGTTCTGAGCATCTGCAGTGTGGCTGTGAGGGCAAAGCTTACATCTCCACATGTGTCATATATGTCATACCCCAAAGTGAGGTTAGGGATAGATCTGCGCTGGTTTATCTCTTCAGTGGCAAAAATCATCACTTGGGATTGCAAGAAGGAATTCACACTGAAACTACAAAAAAGGCAAAATCTAAAAACTTATTCCAATCATCAGTATGTAAGACTATATCATGATGCACATACCTTTCACATGAAACCGAACTGGACCAGTCCATTGTAGTGAGCTCAGCGGTCCTGTTGGTGTTTGAGTGGATTAAGAAAAGACCTCCAATGATAATATCTCCATCAGATGAGTAATGCAAAACATTATTCACTCCTGCAATGAAGATGTAGAAACAAAACAACAAGCTAAAGCTGGACATTGTGGTACTGTCTACACAGACGACTCACCCTGCCACAGTAAAATGTCACACGCCCCGATATAAGTAACTGTATTGAGGAAATAAGAGGTTTATTTGCATTGCAGAGATAGATTGTAACCAAATTTTGGACTTGCTCACAAATATTTAAATAAACAAAGTATTAGGCTACAGCCAGTGTTGGAAAGTAACTGAATGCATGTGCTGAAAAAATGTATTCTGAATACACATTTTGAGTAACTATATTCTGGTACTGTTACTCTTATATTTGGGTTCAAACTGCACCGTATTGGTGAGAAATATATAAAACACTGTTCATGTGTTGAGTGCATGTGTGTTTTTCTTCTTCTCTGATCAGTGATAGGAAATGCATAAAACAACAAAAGAAACATAATGTTGTTTTTAATCCTATGTTGTGTGTTTACACTATAATTTAAATGTGACTCGATGTAAAAGTATTCAGAACACAGTAGTTTGAGTGGACCACGTATTAGTATGAAGTGAGAATTGTCTTATAAAGATTTTTAGAAATAAAAAAAATATATATATAGATATACATACATTTATAATATCTAAATACAAAATACAAATATAAAAACATGACATACAAATAAATAGATTAATTTGTATAAATAAATGTGTATTTGTAAATATATTTGAAGATTTGAAAATAAATAAGCTTGACTTTGTATGTGGAATCTGCATTTGTGGATCCCTGTTTTGCTTTTCTCTTGATGACATAATTTTTAATTACATTTTACATTTTTCAACATCTACTCAGTCCAATCGTTTCTTCTTATGGCTCGTAACTAAAGACGTTTCTTGTTTGCCTTAAAAAGGGGTGCAGGTTGATGGAATTCTGTAAAACTTGCATGTTTTATTGTTTTTATCAAAATGGTTTGAACATTCAACAGCACAAAAACAAGACAGTGGCTCTTTCTGCAAAGGACATGCGCAGTAGAGCAGAGTGCTGTAGATTGGCTCTTAAAAAAAAAACTACCAAAAAAAAAAAAAAAAAAAAAAAAAAAACACATTTGTGCATCAAACATCAAGGCATCAGGAAAAGTGCTGTGGCTGCAAAAACACTGCTAACTGCTGGTTGTTCAGTGGAAGGTATATTTGCATTCAAACCCAGTGGCATTTATTTGTGGATGAAGATGTGTGGGAGGAATGTTTCAGAAGTATGTCATAGAGAGAAAAGCAAAACAGGGATACACAAATTCAGATTCCACATACAAAGTATGTATGCATGTATGCATGTATGTATCTCTCTCTCTCTCTCTCTCTCTCTCTCTCTCTCTCTCTCTCTCTCTCTCTCTCTCTCTCTCTCTCTCTCTATATATATATATATATATATATATATATATATATATATATATATACATACATACATACACACACACACACATATAGATATATAGATATAGATATATAGATATTTGAGACAATTCTAGCTCCATATTTTTCCAAGGTCCTTCACTAGCTCCATGCACAGTCATGAAAAAAACAGAATGAAAAAAAGAAACTCAGTTCACACAATTGAACAGTCTATCCAGTCTCCAATCTCTTTCCCTTTAGATCACAGCAGTAATTAACCCTGCACTAAACAAATACTTCCCTGTTGACAGTAAGCTGAAGATCATAGCTGAGCCTGGCCACTGTTTGGAAATATTGCAAATAAAGTCATACTGAATGATGACAATGCATCTGATGGTAAGTCTCGTAAACCAGCCTTAACTGCTCCTTGCCAAGGAGGCCCCCAGCAAACCCTGCCAGTAGAAACAAGGCTAGACTCATCTCTATTCTTTAAGAAGTACATATTTAACCAGTGTTTCTAAATATCAGTATGAACTTCTCTTGCATTCATATACTAAAACAACAGGCACTCAAAGCACATAGTTACTCTCCTTTATTTATAATATTGACTTTGAATATTCAATATTAAAACACAGGTGGATACGAAAGATACTGGATTGATTTTTTTTTTTTTTAAGTGTAGAGGCAGAATCAGTGTGGTGTGTGTCATTGTTAATATGAGACAGTATGTACACAGTGTAAAGAAATTAATGCAATGTACTGTCTCCATCTGGTAGACCAGCTCAACAATCCTAATGCAATTGCTCAGGTTCAGTTACATTGTGTTTAGAGGCTGTCTACTAGGATCTCACAACAGGGATGCCCTTCTGCTCATAATGCTTCCTAATGTACTCTGAAATGGCGTTTACATTATTGAGCTCTTTTTTGAACACTATGATGTAACACTTAGGAGCTAAGTGAGCACATAGGATGCTAAAGCTGGATACGACTGCAGCTGCTTCCTCAATTACACTTTTGTAAATACCAACCAGATTTATATAAACTGGAAGTAAAAGAGCCCAGATAATTAGGAACAGCAACATACTAATGGCAATTGAGCTTGCATTTTTATACAGATCTGGGAGTTGTCTTCCTTTTTGAGCAAAAAAGAAGGAGACAAGTCCAACAACAGCATTATAACCAAACATGGCTACATAGAAACACAGACAGTTCATTTCACAGACATTGATGTTATATAATTCAAATTTGTGTACAGTCGGTTTAGGGGGGTTGATGTACATCCAGGCAACACCTAGGATCAACTGGATTCCTGGGACAAGAATCACCACTGCCAGTGGCTGGTTTAGTTTCTTCAGCCAAAAAGCCACCCTTTGGTTAAAGTTGAAACCCACTAATATTTGAAGTGAGTTGGCCAGTATACAAGATAGACAAAGACAAAAGGCTATACCAAATATGGGAAGGCCCAACATACACTTTGTAGGATTTGGGAATCCAGGGAAGGTAAAGCCAATGCTAAAACACACCAGTAAAGACAAAATCTCCAGACCGCACAAGTAACCACCAATGGATTTAACAACAGGAGTGTTAAAATGAATAGAGAATAATACACCAAAAGTGACAGTTATAACAAGGCCAAGAATCTCCAGAAGTGACAGAATGACACTGAAGGGATCTGTCCAGCACAGATACTTCACTGTTTTATTGAGACATTTGTCTGTTTGAGGAGAGGAATACTGGTCTTCACCACACTTGACACACTTTTCTCCTATAAAACAAACAAACAAACAAACAAAAATAACTAATTGACCTATTTAGAAACAAATTCAATTAGTATGGCTTTATAATATTAGAAAAATAATCCTGAAAGAGAAAATATCCAACTATGCCTACTTTAAACTCCACACCAGAAAATGAGGAAGTGACTGTACACAGTACACAGTAACCTAATTCACAGTGAATTTAAATGTGAATATTTTTGACTAATCTGTAATAAGGTTTAGGATGTTAAAATGTTGTAGTATTTTATTAATTTTATTGTAATTAATTGCAGTGGGATAATATATTAACTCACCTTTTTCAATAGAGTAGAATCCGGGATTACAATGTTTACAGCAAGTTCTTTCAGACACTAACTCATGTCCAGGGTCACATGTTTTGGAGCAGTTGCACACAGACACCTTTAAAAATGTAGTTCTTTTCTTTATAACTGTCAAGTTATGCTTCATATAATTTTACAGAAGAGCACTCACCTCCGCATTGCTTTTTTGTTTAACAAGATGGTCTGAAATGCTGAAATGTCCATTAGGCCAGTACTCGCCGACAGTTTGAATTTTTGGAGAACCAGAAATGTTCCAGTACAAAATATCATACCCCAAACTTGGGTCTCCATTTTTGTCAAAGAATATACTTGTGTTCTTTACAGTGAAGTTAACTTTTCTCATTTCCTGGAATAGCTGCAATGAGGCACAATAATAATTTTGTTATCAAAATCAAATATGGAATTAGTAATGTAAATGAGTATATTCAAAATTCTACCTCTGAAGCTTTAAAGGGTGTTGTCCGCTCACACTGTTGGTTGTCACACCTAAGTAACTGCCTCAAACTTTCTGCTATTACTTGTACAGCTAAGTAGATGTTGTACGATGTATCGTGATCAATGTGAGGTACCAGGCACCACTGGTCTGGACATGGGACATTAAAAGTCTTTAATGTGGTGTTATACTCAGTGGTCTTATTTATGACATATTCTTTAAATCCTAAGACCTCACTCCTTTTAGAAATGCATCCAAAAACATCCCCAGTAACATTTAGCCTAAAGAGCTCTATGGACGTGGACCATGAGTCACTTGCGATCCATGTTCTACTAAGGTTTTGTTTCATTACTTCATTCAAAATGATTTTAACATTGATCTCACGTGTGAACAGTATAATGGCTTCTGCTGTAGATGTCCTAATTGATTGTAATAACTCAAAAAGCACGTTATTGTTATCGTTTTGAGAAAAATCCCCAGGGAGTATTTTTTGAAATTCAATGCAGATGTTCAGTACCATACTTCCCATACTCGTCATCACTTCCCACAATGGCCACTGACTCCCATTTAAACTGACTGACCAGCTCTGCAATAGCTCTGGCTTGATATTCATCACTAGATATAGTTCGCATAAAAGTGGGGAATTTGTTCTTCCTGCTCAGGAGCTCACTGGTTGAGGAATAACAAATCTGTAAAAAAAAATTACAGAAATGCTCAAGTTAGTGTTTCTTTCTATTTCTTTCGATAGTTTAACACAGAAATGTGCAAACTTTTTTCACAAAGGACCACATCTTGAAATATATCGAAAGCCACAGACTGTTGATCTATATACGGATCATTCAGATGGTGCATTAAATATAGTTCTTTTGACAACAGCTGCCACCTCTAAATGACCCATAATATTCTATTTTTGGATCTTTGTTATAAAGCAGGACATTGTGGTACTGTCTACACAGACGACTCACCCTGCCACAGTAAAATGTCACACGCCCCGATATAAGTAACTGTATTGAGGAAATAAGAGGTTTATTGTAGATGGACTAGAACCAAATCTCAATTGTCCGCAAACATTTAAATAAACAAAATAATGGGGTACATCAGCCTGCTAAACCAACAGTAGGCTAATAGCCAGTGTAGCATTTGAAAGTTTTGGCCATTTATGCCTAATTGTCGAAACCTGGCCTATTATAGCCTAATAAAGAGGTCTGGAAGAGGGAATCAAAAACCCCTCCTCCTCACACTTTCTGCTGAAGACCAGGATTGGGCCATCTCCTTTTGGGCAGTGAACTCCCTCAGACTGAAGTTACATACTGTATAAAAAGGCAAACCCAGATTTTGTAGTGGACATCAACCCAGACACAGCGAAATACTCTTCAAACTCGCTATGGCTTTGGAGATGAAGTTTTGCTGTTGCATTTTGGCGCTGCACGTCCTTATCGTTACGGCACAGACACGACAGCGGCAAGTCCACACCATCAGGCCCAGTCCCTCTAACAGACGTGAGCGCATCGAAGCCCAAATTGCAGAACCTCCTGAAACTTTTCAACCGGTTCATCTGGAGGAGCGCGGGAGCAGACGCACGCAACAGCAGGGTGCTCGTCCAGGGACCAGTAACCGTGTGACACTGGATAGAAGCGCCAATGAAGGTCAGATTCACGCCTGTTATCTCATTTAACTTATTTAGTTAATAACCCTATCCGCTCTCTAGCCACTTACAAAAGTATTAATCTTGTCCTACACAAAATCGATCATTAAAATTTGCCTCAAGGAGTGAATACAAAAATGTAAATGAGCATCTCAAGTCAGTAAAAATACACATGTTCAGTGAAACATAGTGCTACCAGCCTATGCAATTAATCAATCAAATTGGTTTAACGGTCTTTAATTTATGTCCTTTGCACTGCACAACTGCATTGCTGAACTCTTAATTAATGAAATCCTCAAAAGATATATGTTCAAAATTACACTAACAACACAGTAAAAGTTTAAAAATGGCTTAGTGTGCCAGTCATTCAACTTCTGGAACAGTGACAATAGCCATGGATTAGTTTAGTTAGTTTGTTTATTTAGTTTGTTTATTTTTATTTTTCCATCTTTTTTACAGTAACATCAAACTGTCGAAATCGCCCTATCGATTTGGTCTTCATTATTGACAGTTCTCGCAGTGTGCGTCCTTCTGAGTTTGAGAAAGCCAAAGAGTTTCTCCAGGACATGGTGGACAGTTTGGATATCGGCTCAGACAGCACTAGAATCGGTCTGGTAAACTATGCCAGTACGGTTAAGATTGAGTTCCTCCTAAAAACATATTCTGACAAGACGGCCCTCAAAAAAGCTCTGTCCAGAGTAGATCCCCTGGCCTCAGGCACCATGACAGGGCAGGCCATTAAAATGACAATGGAGCAGGTATTCACCACAGAAGCTGGAGCGCGAATGTCCTCCAAGGACATTGCCAAAGTGGCCATCATCGTGACGGACGGACATCCCCAGGACAACGTGGAGGAGGTGTCTGCTGCAGCTCGGGCATCGGGAATAGAGATCTACGCCGTTGGAGTGGGACGAGCTGACCTGACGTCTTTGAGGCTCATGGCCAGTCCTCCTCTGGATGACCATGTCTTCTATGCGGAAACATATGGGGTCATAGAGAAGCTCACATCCAAATTTAGGGAAACTCTGTGTGGTAAGGATGATGAGGGGAGTGCGGATGTCCCCATAACTGGTGGGATGGATGAGTTTGGCCTAGGTCTTGAAAACAGGAAGGAAGGGAAAGGAAAAAATAAAGAAAAAGGCGATAAAAGAAAAAAGGGTACGTCACATTTCATATTTATGTTTCATCTGTGTACATTGGGGCAGCACCATAGTGGGACGTGCCATTTTAAAGTAGACGGTCCTACTAACCATGATTAGTAGTGTAATAATAAGGTTGATCTGCCTGAGCAAATCCAACTTTATAGACAGATTAAAATGGTGGTACCAAACATGATGCTGCCTTTGTGGTCACAGGAAGTGCAATGCTTTTTGAGCTACATCTTGCACTATATGCTTTAAATATAGATTTTATATAGAAGAGTAGTCTCTGCAAATAAATACATGCCTAGGAAAAGGATGGGCATAAGGACAATTAGCTTAATTATTATTATTATTATTATTATTATTATTATTATTATTATTATTATTAAAACCTAGAGATGGATAGATATGCTTGATAGGTCTAAGGGTAAGTATGCAATATTAGGTTTTACAGATATACATGTACCTAAATCTGAATACTGCTTTTCCCACAAAAATGGGTTTAAACCTTACTATATAGTTATACACTATTGTATAACAATCATTATACATGCTTGTACTATTTTTCCCTGCCATGGGCCGCTGATCTTTCTTCCCTTTGTGGTTCCTGGAGATTAACATGTGAGCATTGATTGGAAAACTAGAGTCATCTTTTTGTTCGCTTTATCATTAACCACTAATATATGCGGCATAATATTGCACGCTAATTTGCATGCTCCTTTAAGTGTGACTTCCAAACTAACATACCCACTTGTAATTGTATCACATGTTGATCAGTCAAACGTGAGATATGTGTTTTAGGTTTGGATGCATGTGGCCAGAGTCATGACTGTCAGCACATTTGTGTTAACAACGGCAGCTCTTTCACCTGCAAGTGTCGTACTGGCTTTGTCCTGAACTTGGACAAAAAAACATGCTCACGTAAGAATTTTCATCTTTTTTCTTAAAAAAGTAATTTTAAAAAGTAAAAAAAAAAACATAAACATAAAAAAAAGCAAGCAATTAAACAGAAATATTCTCTGAAGGTCTGTACTGTCGCTGACTCTTTATTAAAATCTATCCTGGATGGTGGGTTTTTAAGTGAAATTCTCCAATGTTGCACTGTTCAAAATAGACAAAATACACAATGTATTTACAACTGTCTTTCAGGTTTGGATGTGTGTACCCTGGGCCATGAATGTGATCAGATTTGTGTCAGTACTGATCATTCATACCTCTGCCAGTGTCAAGAGGGATTTGTGTTAAATACAGACCAGAAAACATGCACACCAATGAATATGGGTTTGCATCATAGAAATTGTATAATTGTTTTATAAATATTTATTTGCAAACATTTATCTATCAATAGTTGACAAAGTAGTAAAAGGAAAAAATTTTTTAGTAATGATACATTAACTTCAATTTACCTGAATTTTGCAGGATTGAATAGATGTGCTTCTGGACATTGCCAACACATTTGTATTGAAACAGATGATTCATATGTTTGCAAGTGTCGAGAAGGATTTGTTTTAAATACAGATGGGAAAACATGCTCAAGTAAGAACATAATTATGATGATAATTTTTCTTGTTTTTTTGGTACGGAAGAGTATGTTACTGTTGAAGATGACAAGAAATTATGTACCTAATACCTATATGTACCTAAGAACAATTTGGATCTGAATCACATTTATCAAAACAGTTTCTCAGTGTTTGTTGTTTCTACACACTTGTTGCTGTGTTTCAGTTATTATTTATTTGCAGGTTCTGATCTTTGTGACCTTGGACACAAATGCCAACAAATTTGTGTAAGCAGTAACACTTCATACGTCTGCAAGTGTCAAAGTGGATATGTATTAAATGCAGATCAGAAAACCTGCTCTTATAAAACATTAGGTATTGTAATTTGTGAATTGTTCTAAGGTGTTTGTCACCTGGGAACAATGTTGGAGTTTGTTGTTTTTGAATTGTGTAATAATATCTATTTCAGATGCAGATGCATGTAGTCAAGGGCATGACTGCCAACATATCTGTGCAAATAATGATACATCTTACATTTGCAAGTGTAAAAGTGGATATGTTCTAAACTCAGACCAGAAAACATGCTCTTGTAAGAATCTGCTCTTCTGCTATTATCTTCTAAAAGGAACGCTAACATAATATCTTTACTATGAACAAACACACAAGGTGTATTTGTATATCTGAGCTGTCGTCTTAGTTGCAGATACCTGTAGCCAAGGCCATAACTGCCACCATATTTGTGTCAGCAATGGCACCTCTTACAGTTGTAAATGTCGAGGGGGATATGTGTTGAATGCAGACCAGAAAACATGCTCACGTAAGATACAGGGGCAGTGCACGATCAGAAGAGAAGCTGTTAATCGCTTTTGTATGTTTTGACAATGACAATTTTGGCTGTGTGTTTCTTCAGGATTTCATCCATGTGCTCATGGACATGTATGTCAGCACATCTGCATAAGCACTGATCATTCATACAAATGTAAATGCCATATGGGATATGTGTTGAATCCTGACAAGAAAAGTTGTTCACGTAAGGTTCCCTGAGTAAAATGTCCAGATCTGTGTGTTGGGCATGAAAATAATTTTACTGTCACATAATGATGTATTAATTTTCTTGCACACAGCATTGTTTTCAGGAGACCCTAGAAGTGTGAAATTTGTTTGATTTGAGGGTTATCTCAAAAGAATAATTATCAATTTCTTCTGTCAGAGCTTTAACTACTCTTCTAATCATTTGGATCAAGTTTCTTTTTCCCCCGTTGAACTTATACATTGCATGTATGACCTTTTCTAATCTACATTTACCTCTGGGCAGGTTCCTTAGGGGATGCTTGTGCCAAGGGACATGATTGCCAGCACATATGTGTGAACAATGAGAGCTCATACACCTGCAAGTGCCGACCTGGATATGTGCTGAATGTGGACCTGAAAACATGTTCACGTAAGAACTGGGTTTTTCACTGACATATGTCCCATTATGGAGTCCAAACACTGTATGCAGGAACATGAACTCAAACCAGTTTACAAGGGTTAATTATTGATTTTTATACATGGGCAAGTTTTACTCTTCTTCTCATTAGCTCTATTTGAAATGTGGTTGTGGTGGAGTTTAGGTATTTAGTTCCAATTTAACTCTCAGAAAACACATGGGCACTTAATGTTTCCCAAACTAGATCCATAAGTTGGACTTTCAAAACATTGGAAAATTGCTCTGAAGACTATAGGTCTGGAAGAAAGGCTGTCTAAAAGTACAAGATAATTCCCTGTTATTTAGGTGATAATAATTATTATACTGCACAGTGAGACAGTGGGTGTTTAGCACTATACATGTGACCATGAATGCTAATCACTAACCGTGTGTTTGTCTGTTTTGTAGTCCATGAGAGTGGAGTTTGGACTAAGATACATTTTTGCTGTTTAATTTGATAACACAGCATATGAAATCCTGCTGTTCTGATTGCAAACTAAAGAGTACACTGTCACCATATGCTGGCTCTAGTTTGAAGAATATATATATATATATATATATATATATATATATATATATATATATATATATATATATATATAAACAATGTGTGAACACTAAAACTAGTCTCCTTTATACTTTTAGAGGAAATGAGGAGTGAAATAACCCAAGATGCCTGCATGTGTGAAGCTCAGATTCTTTTTCAGAAGAAGGTGCAGTCAACTATTCAAGAACTGACACGAAAAAATATCCTTTTAATATTTATACACTAAGGATTAACACATATATATATTGCATATAAATGTTAATAACTAAAATATTTTCCTTGACTCACAAATACTTGATGAACTTTCAAGCAAGGTGAATGTAATTGAGGACATGCCACAGTACTGAGAGTGGAGGATGCACAGTCTATCTTGTTTTTATAGTAAATCATTATTGCATCTTGTAATAGTCCAAATGCTGCAGTATAGACCTATATAAATATTAGTTTCTTCCATACTTGGTACCTAATGTCTGTGGAAATATTAACTATATTAATGCTGGCTTATATTACATACTAATACCAGAGATCATACAACTTTTTAAAAATTGTGTGTAATTATGTATTCAGTATATTATGCAAATGATCATACATTTACAGTTAAATTAATCATAATATTTTGATATTGACGAACTAACTGTATGCATTTAACTGAAATTTTACAGGGGTGAATTTGTACTACTTGTTTTCAGACAATCTGAGGCTTTTTTGTTTCTGTGTTTTTGTGTCTGTGTCTTATGTTCACAATAAGTTAAAATAAACATTAAAAAAGCATGAACAATGTCCATTATTCATTAAAATGGCATATATCATATTTTGTTATTTTTTAAAAATCCTTTTATTCAGGTTGAAATGCACCCTGAGTGAGAAAGGGACTACAACTCCCACATATCTTTAAAAACGTAGTTTCCGGTTACAGTTACCATGGGAGACCAAAGGAAGGTATTGACGCTATGCCCACGGTCATGCTCCGCTAAAACAAAAAAATATAGGTTTAAGAGCTTTGCTTGTCTTTTGAATAATTGTCTAGCAGTGCGTACGCTTAAAATAGACAGATATTACAACACAGCAAAATAGTGTTAACGTTAGGCTAGCTAGCTCCTTAGGTTTTAAACTTAGACGATAGCAAACAGCAAACATAACATAGCATAGCTGATCAGTTTTTGCCCATATTATCCATGAAAAAACTAATCATATTAACAAAGTAGGACTAGGTCCAAAATGTTCATCTACCTCAGCAAGAAGGTGAGTTAACGTAACATTAATTTTTAATTTTCCATGGCATTTTAGTTTTCACATTTAACGTTAGCTAGCTAGTTAACTCAGTGGTGTTAATGCTTGTGCTTGTTCTGATGTAGATTGCCATACCCAACCACATTAATCTAAAATGTGTA